TGGGAGGATTGATTATTTCTTTGACATATCTTCTTGTAGAGTACCTTAAGTATGTATAGGTTTTAAACTACTAACTAATTTGCACACACATATTAACATAATAGGAATACGGTGACATAAACAAAGCAAATCTATAATTACCATCCATCTCCAGTGAAGCCAAGAAAACCATTTAGGCACCCTAGGCATTTGTGAAAATTTATCTATGATATGATGGATATTGTCCAACTGTACTTGAACCATCAGACAAATTAAAGCAGCCCATTTCTGGGATCTGTTCACATCCCATATGTTCTTTTAACCATAGATAGTCTATAGTCATGAGATTTTGGAGTGCTACAACTTGCACCCCTCCCAACTCCTGGTTGAGTTCCAACAGTACAGATCCGGTCAAATTCGTTGTCTCACTGTATGCACATGCCAGCCTAGACATCTCCCTCCTCATTCCAATGGCAAGTCCAGGAAATGGTGGGGTGGATGCAGCCACAACCGCAGCATCGCCCAGATCCCTGTGGAGGCTTTTTGATGATCATCCCCTGGCACAAGTCCTCCAGAGAGTGCTGATGCCGGAAGCTCCTCCTCATATCGTATCTTAGTTTATTTTCTACTTTGTATGATTTTTAAGTTTTAAATTTGACTTCTTTATGGTCCAAAGTGTAGTTGTTTTGGTGAGCATTCCATGAATGCTTGAAAATAATGTGCATTCTGCTATTATTGAATAGAGAGTTCTTTAATTGTCAATTAGGTCAAGAGCATTGTTCGAGTTGTTCAGATCTTCTGCACGTATGATGATTTTTTGCCTGTTTGTTCAATCATTAATAGAGTGGAGTGTTTCTTCTTCCTTTTAGTTCTGTGAGTTTTCGCTTGTTTTTTTGAAGCTCTGTTACTTGGTGCATGCCCACTTAGGATTGTTATGGTCTCTTGATAGATTGACCCTTCTATTATCATGAAACATCCCTCCTTATCACTGCTAATGCTATTTGTCTTGAAGTCTTCTTTGTCTGATGTTAATATAGCCACTCCATCTTTCCTTCAACTGGTGTTTGCCTGGTATTTTTCCTCACCATTTTACTTTTAACTTGTCTGTGCCTTTCTATTTCAATTGTGTCATCTGTAAGCAGAATCTAGTTGGGTCTTGCTTTTTTAGCCAATGTTACAGTTTCTCCATTTTAATTAGAGAATTTATACATTTGGATTTAATGGAATTGGATTCGATTTAAAGCTACCATATTGTTATTTGTTATGTTTGTCCTTTTCTCCGCCTCTTTTCTGTCCTTCTGGGTTAAGTATTTTTAGCATTTTATTTTATCTCCTGTATTTCATTTAAAATACATATCTTGGCATTTTTATTTTTTTGCAGTTTCTCTAGATATTACACTGTGTGTCTTTCACTTATGACAGTCGACCGTGAATTAGTAGAATAAGTAATTATAACAGTACACTTTCATTTACTTCCTTCTTGTCTCTTGTACTATTATTGTCATGCATTTTACCTCTACATGTATTATAAACCCCACAATTCATTGTTAATCATGCTCTAAATGCTTAATTATCTCTTAGAGAAATTAAAAAATAATTTTAAAAAGTATTTACCAACATATTTTCCATTTTGGGAGCTCTTCATTCCTTCATGTGGATCTGAGTTTCCATCTTCCTAAAAAACTCCCTTTAACATTTCTTTTAGTTCAGGTGTACTGGTTGCTCAATGAGCAGCCTAAGTAGACAGGTCAAAGGCCACTCATAGTCTGTTCATTCATATACAGCTAGTGCCTACTGGACACCTGGGCACTGGCATCCAGCCTGGCCAGGGGAATATGGCTGGTAGAGCTGAGCCTTGCTTCCTGATGGCAGACTTCCAAGTTGGGTCAAGTCTGTGTCTGGCTTTTCCAAGGTACCTCTGAACTCCACTGGGCAGCAGCAGGATGTAGGGGCCATGACCAGTGTCTTCTAGAATAATTTCTGAGAGGCACCCCAGTGTACCCACATGGGTGCAGGATTTTGCACAGGTGGCAGATATGGGAAGGGTGCTTTCCTGAACACGTGCTTGCTGTGTCCCTACAGCCTACTCAGACATGGGGATGCATGTTTCCCGCCAGAGGAATGCCCATGCACTTGGAAGGGGAAGGAATATTACCCTGGGGACCAGGTCGAGTCTCCCTGTTACACCTGGTAAGTGAGGGCCCCATCCAGGCTCTGCTTTCTGTTGGGAGTGAGGATGGATATGGGATGCATGATCATGAGCACAGTCTAACATTTCCCCTTCCACCATTTCACACTCACATGGTGTGCTTGTGTGTTACATAGGGGTTTGCGTATATATACTAGCATATGCATAGAAGGAAATTTTGGGGTGTTTTTGTATTTACATGAATGCAAGTTTGTTCGGACATATATATGAATGTGTGTACATATATATTTGTAGCCATGATGATGTGTTTACATATTTATGTGCATGAATAAGTGTGGGTACAAATCCAAAATGCACTGATTGCATATGTGAACCTACCTGCATATACACAATTGAGGAGCATTCATAAACCTGAATATGTTCATGAATACATACAATTATGAATGTGTGTATTTATACACATGTGTTTATATGCATCTGTGTTTATATGCATCTAGTTAGTTTGTGGGGACACATGTGTGCAAAGTATGTGAATGTATACTTGCACTGGGTGTACATATTTACATGTGAATGGACATGTATCTATAAATGTTCATTTGTATTTTCCTATGAGTATGTGCATGCCTAAGTATGAAAGTATGTGACTATATTTGCACACCATATCTATATTAATATAAGTATGTGTGTGTGTGTGTGTGTGTGTGTGTGTGTGCACCTGGATTGGGTGCCGTGGAAATAGACTTGGGGGCCAATTCTGTTGGAAGTGGATAGAGACTCAACCTCCTAAAGTAGTCCCACAGGCTTCCACTATTGCTGAGCTTAACTCACATTAGCTGCCTACAAAGCCTTAACTTCTGAAGAGGTCTGTGTGATTCCTTTTAAATCAATTTATTTTCCCACTCTCCACCTGTACTCTGCTTCTGGGACAGCTGAGGGTCTCTGCCACCCTGTAAATCATGTAAATGTTGAAATTCCCCCAATGACTTTTCCAAAGACTTACAACTACCCAACAACCGATGAGCCCTCTTAACCTGCATCTCCCAGCCTGGTGGCTCCCGCTGCGGTCTCCTTTGCCAGGTGCTCTCAGAGGTTCCTGGCCCAGGAAGCCTCCCCAAAGGGCACATGGAGCCCCCTGCCATTCCCCTGTGGTCTCACACCCCTGCAGAGGCCCAGCCTGGGCTCCCCAGGGCTCTGAGAGTGCCCGGGCTCCTTCACCCCTGGATTTGTCTGCATACTGCCCCAGGCAGCCACGTCCTGCAGGTCCCTGAGTCCCAGGTCCCCCCATTCCCTGGACAGTGACCAAAGCATATCAGCCAGAATCATGGGGCTACATCCTTCTGGGTGGGGAGGGGAAGGAGACAGGCCAGAACCCCTCAGAAAGGTCTGCTCAGCTCATTCCAATGGAACCCTGCACCCAGGGGAACCACTTCCTGTCTTGGTCATATATCACATTCAAATGACTGTCCAAAGAGGTCAGGCTGGATGCAAGATCCTGTGCGAAATAGCTTTAGATCAGCCTTGGTGTACTGGCTCATGGTCTGGTGTTTCAAAGATGGGTGTGTTCTGTACAAACCCTTCACAGCCACGCAGCTGAGTTCCTATGACTGTTGTAGGCCTGGAAAGGTCTCCTAGACTTATGAATTCCGCTTGCTTTAGTGAGTGTGTACACATGTGAGTGTGCATAGGCACATGAGCTCCAGCTGGCTGGATAGAGGAGTCCCAGGTGTGGCAAAGGGATGAGCAAGTCCTCTGGTGTCCCCGCTCCTGTCATAGCCGCACTGAGCTCAAGAAGATGCTTGGGTCCTTCCCATCTTGGGGACATTCAGATCTTTGTGAAGACAATGGTGTGGAGTGTGGAGAGGCAGCCTTATTTGGTCTCAGGGCCATGGGCAATGGGGGACAGAGAAAGCTCTGGGGTGGGGGGCAGCGAGTAATGATAAACTGGTGCCCTGATGTTGGGGAACAAACTTGGTCACTGTGCCAACATTGGGAACCAGCCAGGGGCAGCCTGGTGTGGGCTGGAAGCATCCAGCACTGGTGCCAGGAGACCCATCCAATTAGCTAGAGCACAGTCCCCAGTTCCTGTCCCATGCTCGGATTGAAACTGTCCTGTTTCTCTGGCCCAGGGGATGGCTGTGGCATTGAGTCCTATGTCAGCAGCAGAATCACAGTGAGGCCCATCTTCCCAGGGCTGGTTTCCCCTGGTGTTTTTATAGGGTCAAAGCTTTGGCCGTCTGACCACGGAAGTCCCGGGTATAATATCAGGGCATGGAGCTCTGTGCAGACTGCATGTTGCACTGTTTGTGGGGTGTTGTGACTGTGGTGAGCCAAAGGTGAGACTGGGTGCCAGGTGCACTGTGGTGAGGCACAGGTTCACCAGCCCACATTCACCCAGGGGTGCTCAGGCCCAGGGTCTGATACACTTTGTCATTTTACTAGACACCAGCCACCACACTGGCACCCCCAGTCTCAAGCAGGGATGCCCATGCTATGTTGAATCTTCTCCTGTGAGCACTTTGTCATCAAATGGTGGAGGGAGAATCAGAAACCAGGGCCAAAGGCCTGGGATTATTTTAGGATTTGGAACTCTGACATCTCTTCTCTGATTTACACTCACTCCCTTGGTAAACTTACCCGGTCTCATGTCAGTAAGGCCCATCCATACACAGACGACTCCCAGATTCCTACCTGTAATCCAAATCTCACTCCTGAGCTCCAGACTCACACATCCAACGTCTGCTTTACATCCCCATGTATGTCTAATGGATGTCTCGAACGCAGTGTGTCCCAACTGAACGCTTGCTCTTTCCCCTCAGCCCTCCCTGTCTGGGTTAATGAAGACTCTATTCTTCCAGTTGCTCAGGCCAAAATGCCTGAAGTCATCCTTAAGTCTTCTCTGCCACTACCTACATCCAAACTGTCTGAAAATACTTTTGGTCCTATCTTCAAAATAGATCCAGGATCTGACTACTTACTCCTTCCATTGCTGTTTGCCAGCTCCAAGCCACCATCACTTCATCCCTGAGTTACTGTAATAGCCTCCCAACTAGTCTTCCTACTTTCACCCTCGCGCCCTTCAGCATAGATTCAGTGCAGCAGCCAGAGTGGGACAAAAGTCAGATTGTATCATTCCCATCATCAAATCCTCTAAACACTCTCTCACGCCAGCAAAAGTTCTCTCCCTGAATTCCTCCTCTACTCCTCCACTTTCCATTTTAACTATGTTTTCCTCCTGAATGTTCCCCAGGGCCTGTGCAGAGGCTGCACCCTCTGCCCAGAATGTTGTTTCTGATGTCCACACAGTTAATTTTCTCACCGCCTTTAGGTCTCCGCTCACACGGCCCTCTGACCTCCCAATTTAACTTGCAGCCCACCCCGTACCCCCTCCTGACCCCTTGATCCTACCTCTTCCTCCCGTAACACTCACTGCCTTCTAACACATGATATTACTTACTCATGCTAACTAATTTTTTATTATTTAGTGTTGTATCTTCTTTCTCTAGAATATTAGCTTCACAAAGGCAGAGGTTTTTTTCTGCTTTGTTCACTGATATATCTCAGAGTCCTGGAATTACGCCTGAGATATAGTAGGCATTTAATATTTGTTGAATGAATGAATGAATGAACAATTGGAGCGGTAAAGCGAATGTGGACTTTGGAATGGAATAGATCTGGGTTCTGTCTCAGCTCCTTTATTTATGGGTTGTGTATTCCTCAACCTCTCCAAGCCCTGGTGTCTCCTGCATAAAACAGGGACCCACAATCCCACCCTCAAAGATTCTGTTGAAGGTCGGTGTTTGCCAACCCCCTGGCTCCAGGGCACACAGTGGGCACTGGAGAGGCAAAGCATCCATGATATTCAGAGTGGGGTGGGGTGGGACCTGTGGGCGGCTGTGTGTGTGTGTGTTTCAGCGTGTGCCAGCAGGGCTCCTTCCAGTGCTCGCTCCACCCCTGCGCTTCCACCTGCACGGCGTATGGTGACCGGCACTACCGCACGTTTGACGGGCTCCCGTTTGACTTTGTGGGGGCATGCAAAGTGCACCTAATCAAGGTGAGCTCCTGGATGTGTCTGCCCGGTGGCTCTGTGGGGACCCAGAGCAGTGAGGCTGAGGACCTGGTGTCGTTCAGGACATGGTGGTGTTCTAGACTCCAGTCTGATGCACAGTGGGGTGGGGTGGGGGATCTAAGCCCTGGGGTGTAGCTATCAGCAGACTGAAGAAGATGCTGGGGAGTGAGCTCAGGGCTGGGCCCAGCTCAGGAGGCATAATATACCCCACTGCCTCTCCACTTGTCAGAATAACCTTGCCGCATTGGGTCCCAATGATTTTTTAAAAATCTGTGATTAGAGCTGTTGCTTTTTGAGCTTTTATCACCTGCCTGGTGGTCTACTGAGCCATTCTGGTAGATTACTTTGCTTACTCTCAGTGGAGCCCTATGAGGTAGAGCTTATTGACCCCATATTTGGGGACAGCAGCTTGGGCCTAGGGAACCAACCGGGTGGGTGAGAGAGTGCCAGAAACACACCCAGGGTACGTGGGTTTTGCCAAGGGCCTTTCTATCTCATTATACAATAGTCAAAATAATAACAATAATGAGAAACCTTTTATGGTATGAGTCCTATCTATGGGGCAGGCTCTGTACTGGGGTCTTTCATATAATTTCAGTATCTCCACAAGACAGAGATAATTGACTGCATTTTATTTTATATTTTAAATTTCAAAGGTAATGCATGCTCTCCACTAGCATTTAAAACAATATGGAAGCATATATTAAAAATATTCTTCTGTACATCTCCTCTATTCCCATTCACTGCTCATAATAGTCAGGTGTGAATCCTGCAAGATCATTTTGCATGAGACATACAGGGAGACACACAATATACATACACACACACACTAGTTTACTATGGATAGAATTCTGAAATTTGCTTTTTTCACTTAATAATATACCTTGGCATTATCTCATGTAGTTAATACATACTTTTTCTTTCTCCTTTCTGTAGAATTCTACTAAAAGTACATGCTCTAGTATATTATTCCTCCATGAATGACCATTTAGGTTGTGCCAGTACTTGTGGATGTATTGCTTGACTCTTAGAATTGCTATAAAAAATTATGTTCCTGTAAAATGTTCTTCGGTGCCCTCAAATTGCCCTCCAAAAAGCCTTATGCTACCATCATCAGTGTATGTAAGATGGCACCCCTTCCTCCATACCCCTGCTAGCACCAGTTGTCTCTATTATATGTTCACTCGTTCACTTGTTCATCAGACACTTTTTGGAGAGCCGCTACATGCCAAGCAGTGTGCTAGGCACCCAAAACCAAAACTGGGCTCAGAGAATTGAAGTAAGTTGCCCAGAGTCACACAGCTAATGCGAAGTAGAAGTGGATGGAAAACTTCAGAGTCCATGTCCCTCTATTTCTGTGCATCTCAGAAGGATCTCTTCTTTCCCTGGGGTTATTGAACTAGCTTCTTTTCTTCTCAGAGTACATCAGATTTCAGCTTCTCTGTGATTGTAGAAAATGTAAACTGCTACAGCTCTGGCATCATCTGCAGGAAATTTATTTCCATCAACGTTGGGAACTCACTCATCATCTTTGGTGACGACTCAGGAAATCCCGTAAGGCCTGGTGCAGGTGAAGGTCGTATAGACAATTTGCAGGTTAATAGGGCCTGGGGCAGAAGAGGGCTAAGGACTGGTTTCCTTACCACAGCAGTTTCTCTTAGAACCATGGAATCAGCAGCCCAGACTGAATTCCTTGGCCAGAGTCAGGAACACAGAGGTCAATGTTAGGACACAAGGGAGGCAGAGTTAATTGTTGAGCTTCTTGGCCTGGGCAGTGACTTGTAGGCAGGCCTAGCTGACCCATGTGTTGGGGGGCACTCAGACCTCATGAATGACCATCTCTGTCCCCATAGAGTCCTGAGAGCTTTTTGGATGAGAAACAGGAGGTCCATACGTGGCAAGCAGGGTTTTTCACACTGGTGCATTTCCCACGGGAGCACATCACCCTCTTATGGGACCAGAGAACTACAGTGCACATCCAGGCTGGGCCACAGTGGCAGGTAGTTGTGTGATCAGTGATCCTCATGGGCCCTGGGGCTGAGCCAAATCACTGGGCATCCTTGCATGAGCTGCACCTGCACTGGGGTGCCTGAGCATCATGCCTTCTACTCTCTCCCATCTGCCCCCACCCCACCCAGTGCCTCTTCTCCTCTGACCTCTCCAATCCCTTTTCACACTGTGACCCTGGTAGTTGCTTCTGGGTGCATGGCTCCTGAGCTCATAGCAATCCCTCCACCCATGGCTCACCCCTGGCGTCCCTGCACCTAACTGTGGTGTCCTTTCTTCTTTTAGGGTCAGCTGGCAGGACTCTGTGGGAACTTTGATTTAAAAACTATCAATGAGATGAGGACCCCCGAAAACTTAGAGTTAACTAATCCCCAGGAGTTTGGCAGCAGCTGGACTGCAGTTGAGGTAAAGACTCCCCAAGCTGGCTCATTCTGTCACAGATGGGACCCGGCCAGCACTGAAGGAACCTGGCCCTGGGTCAGGGAAGAGGGACATTGGTGTGAGGCTGCCCTGCCACTGCTCTTGGCCTCTGGCCCAGCATCCCCAGCCCTAGACCCTGTCCTATGGCTTGAGGACATGCACCATCCTGTCTCATAAATTGGGCCTCACATCTGCCCTGGACCAAGCCTTGGTGGGTGTGGGCAGCAAAGGAGGCAAAGCCTCTGTCCCAGGAGAGAGGACTGCCTCACCTCATAGGGGAGATGGGGCTTGGTGAAGCATGACCATCTTACCCACCTCTATGCCCAGGCCCGCCACTAGATCTGACACAGAGGAGAGATACCAAGAGAGACCCCTGTGGGTTGAGGCAATCAGAGAAGGCTTCCTGGAGGAGGTGAAGCTGGTGTGGTATTAAAGAATAGGCCACACTCAGAAGGATAAATCTTTCAAAGAGAAGGCCTCTGAGAGGGAGAACAACATTAGCAGAGGCAGAAATGAGGGGGTGTCTCTGAGGGTGTCTCTGACTGAGGCTGCCAAGCTGTGAGCTATGGTGGGGTAGGGTTGGGGGTAGGGAACAGAACTGAACTGAGAACAGGAGGTCTGGGTTCTTGTCTTGGATCATCCAGTAACTTTATGGGTGACCGTTAGTAAATCTTATCTCCTCTGCGGTCATCTGTGAAGTGAAGGGGCTATGCTAGGAAAAAGATATTGAATAGATTTCACCTCATGTGACAATTCTTATCAGTCATAAGAGGCTGCCTAAGAAGCTGTGCTGAGAAATACATAAGGCTTGTATCCGGTTCAGTGGAAGGAGAGCTGTGATTGATTAGTCATGTCTGCCATGAGTGTAGCAGTGGAGAATGGTGATATAAGGGTTACATAATTGTCTTTCCTGAACTGAGTGATCTTAGTCTTTTGGGGACTAGAAAGAGAGGAGCCTAAGTATAATGGGATCAGGGGAGAATAATTAGTCATGGCCTGGAGTTCAGTGTAATCCTGAGGTGGGACAAAACTATTCTCACAGCCTCAGAAAAGTGTGTTCTAGTCCATCCCCACCTTAGAGAAACTGAGTGGGTGACTAGCCTTCATTGCTCCTCTTCTCTCATCCCCCGCTGTTATTTCTCTCCTGATAATCCTCTTAGCATATACCCTGGGAGACCAGTGAAAATGTAGGCCAGAGGGAGGAGGTTCAGCAGACACTGGGGGAATCTGTATCAGTTATATATAGCTGTGCAACACATTACTACAGACTAAGCAGCATTCAATCATGCACATGTACTATTTCCTAGTTTCTGTAGTCAGGAGTCAGGGCATGGCTTGACTCAGTTCTTGGCTTAGGGTATCACAGGCTACAATCAAGGTGTCAGCCAGGGCTGGGCTCTCATCTGGAGGTATGACTGGGGAGGGATCTGCATCCCTGCCTGCTGGCATGGTTATTGGCTGCATTCAGGTCCTTGCAATCGTGCAACTGAGAGCTTCAGATTTTTCGCCAGAAGTGACCCTCAGTTCCTAGAGACCATCCATCATTCCTGCCAGGTTCCCAATAACCAGGAAGGGAGAGACTCCAGCAAGATGGGTTCTATAGTCATATAACGCAGTCATGCAATCACACATACATCACCATGTCCACTCATCATCTTTGCTGTCTTGAAGCAAGTCATAGGTCTCTACCACACTCAAGGGGAGGAGATTATACAAGGACATGAACACCTGGAGGTAGGGATCAGGGGGGCGACTGTAAGAGCCTATCCACCACATCAGGCATCAGGCATCTGTGAGGTAGGGAGATCAATACCCTGCCTTTGCCCCTCAGTGCCCAGACACCCTTGACCCTTGGGACACATGCATCCTGAATCCTCTCCGAGAACCATTTGCCAAAAAGGAGTGTGGCATTCTGCTCAGTGAGGTGTTTGAGACGTGCCACCCTGTGGTGAGTGAACCCCTGCCTCGGCCACTCCTGAACTCCCTTGCCACCTCCCTGGGACCGCTTCTGCTCTCAGACCCCTCTCACACCTCAGGCCTACAGGAGACACCCACCCCTGCCATTCCCCTGCCTCCTGCCTGCTCAGATGAGTCTGTACTGTTTCCCCAGACAACTTGGGACAAACAGCCAGACAGACAACACCTGTGCCCTTTGCAGGCCTATCTCAATCTGGCTGACCCTCCCAATCAGGGGGACCTGAATAGTGAACACAAACCCCTTGGGCCGTGGCTTCAGCCTTCTGATGTTTCTGCCCTTAGTGGAAACAGGAGAGCCACACTCAGCCCCTGCTGGCAGCCTCCACGGCCTTGAGGGCTGCTGTCAGACTGGCCTTGGCTGGGAGTTCATACCCCACATCCTCGTTTCTTGGCCACACCTTAGACTCTGCATCCAACAGCCTGGGCCTGGGGAAGGAGTGAGATTAGTTCTCAAAAGTGGGGTCTGCCTGGGCCATGGAGCTACTGTTTGCCTCCGAGCTGGTCACCTTTCTGCCCCCACCCCACCCAGGCAGCTCACCCCATCCTGCGGTCCTTTCCTATTCATGCTGCTCCCTGTGGCTGGGCAGCATCAGGGGAGAGGCTGTAGGACTAACATTCAGGAGCTGTCCTCTGACCTCTGTCTGACCTTCTCCAGGTTGATGTCACTTGGTTTTACTCAAACTGCCTGACAGACACGTGCGGATGCAGCCGGGGTGGTGACTGTGAGTGTTTCTGCGCCAGCGTGGCTGCCTATGCCCACCAGTGCTGCCAGCACGGTGTGGCCATTGACTGGAGGACACCACGCCTCTGCCGTGAGTGTTCAGACCAGTCATCTGAGGGAGAGAGTGGGCCCCCTCTGTGAGCATCCTGTGGGGTCCCATCATTTCTCTGGCTAGTATTTATTGAGTACCTACTATGTGCCAGGTACCAGCTGGTTTGTGTGTATCACTCATTGAATTCTTACAACTACCTCCTTGAAGCAGGACAGTTGGTTCCTATTTTACAGCTGGAGAAACAGGTTAGAGAGGGAGCAAGCAAGAGGCTGAAGGTCACACAGGTTAGGGGTGGAGCCAGGGCTCACCTCCAGACGGCCTGGCTATAAACCTGAGCTCTTAACCACTTTGTTAGAGGAGTCAGGAACCCTGAGTTCCAGACCCAGAGCTGCCATTTGTACTGTGTGACCTCAAACAAGTTACCCATCCTCTCTGGGGCTTAATTTTCTCATCTGAAAAATAAGAATAGATCTGTCCCACCAAGTTTATTATGAAGATCAAATGGGATAGTGAACGTAAAAGTCCTTTGTCAGCTGAGACATGTGGGCTTCATCAGAGGCAGCACAAGCTCTGGTGATCTGCAAATGTTTTTGTTTGTACATTCCTATCAGGTAAAACTATTTTGAGCACACATACATATGCCTGCATAGATACATGTACATATATATACTATTGGTAATGTAAATGCATATCATAAAACAGATACAAAAGTAAATATTTCGAAGATGAGATAAAATATAGAAATTTAAATTATTAATCGATTGATTATTTGTGGATTTTCTCTTGCACACCATGGTCCTTCCTGGTGCGAGTGCACCCCACTTTGGGGTACAGTGCCTATTACACAGGCTCTATGGCTACACTGTCTAGGTTCAGGGCCAAGTTCTAGGCAGGCTGACCTGGGGCACATTCCTTACACTCTGAGGTGTCATCGAGGGTTAAGAGAACTGTGCCTCCCTTCAGGGTGCTGTGAGAATTAAATGAGATAGTGCATGCAAAGCGCTTGGCTCAGTGCTCTATGCTATTGGTGAGATGGCTGTCATTTTTCATGGGGACGTGGGTGCTGACACGTCCTGAGTGCTGAGGATCCCAGACAGGATGACCTCAGGAAGGAAGAGGAATAGAATCTGCCTTTGGCCTCTTTTCTCTGCCCTTTTTCATCACAGATGTTCTGTGGTCTTCATGCAATTGGCTTCTTCCTCTACTTCTCTGATAAAAATCCTTCAGAACAAAGAAAGGAACACTTTGCTGAGGATCCACGGCATGCCAGGCCTGTGCCTTCTGCGTACTAGCTTGATAAATACTCCAGACTAGGGTGAGGCAAGGAAAGTGCTTCCTGAGCACAACATTAGGGAGACACGAAACTCAGTAATCAAGATAAATCATATTTTAAGATAAGATTTCTTAAACATAAAAATTAATGCAAAAATATCTTTGATGAACAAATTGTCAGTTTTAAGTAATAACAGAATGAATATTATTGATTTTTCCTTTTGTCTCAGACTCTCATGTGGCTTGGTGAGGCTCTATCACCCATTCTGTCTTTATTTTTAAATTTCTGATATTTTGTTCATGATGGCTATTTTGCATTAATTTTAAAATTAAGAAATATTGTGTGAAAATATTCTGTATCTTGATTGCTCCTTAAGTTTTGCACCCAAGGTGAACACTTGCTTTACCCTAGTTCAGTCCTCATGAGGGTATGGGGCAGATACTAGAGGTGGTCCCATCTTATATAGGACACTGAATTTCAGAGAGATTGAGTAACTTGTCCCAGGATGCACAGCTGATGAGTAAGAAACATGGGATTTGAACCCAGGGCTGACTCTAGATAGTTAGCTCTTTGCCACTCTTGCAGGCTACCTCCCATTGACCTGGTTCACCCTTGAAACCAGAGATTCAGAGATCTTCTAACTTTCTAGGTCAATCTTCTGAGCTCACAAGTGAGGAAAAACAGGTACCTGTCCATAACCACATGGTGGGTCAATCTCCTGACTCCTAGTGTTCTTCCCAGAGGGCAATGCCAAAATGGAAAAGAGTAGCGTTGATCATAGGGTTTGGGTTGGGGAGGAGTTAGTGGCTCTCTTCAGACCATGCCCATGAGTGAGGGAGGCTCCTCCTCAGGTTTTATCCAAGGTCTACGCAACTGGCTCCTCATGGCCTTGTTCCTGGCTATGGGTGCCCCCTGCAAGGTTCGGAGTTTACCCCAATGGGCTGAGGAATCAGTGTCCGAAATGACAGGGAACAGGCTGTGGTTCTTCTTAACTCGGCCACTAGAGGGCGCACCAAACACACGCTTGGAGGAGCTTGTCAACCCCTGCTGCTGGAAACTGCACGTAGGGGCCTGAAAAGCGCCCTGAAAGGGGCCCCTAACCACCCAAGGCCCTTGGAAGACACTTCTGTCTTATGCTTGCATTCCTCCAGGACCTCCTGAAACATTTCTGGTTAGAGCTTCCACTCCTTGAATCTAATCTTGCCCTTTGGGGCCACACAAAACACACCCTTACTGTCTAACATTAAAGCATTAATTAATTAATTAATTAATTAAATACATCTGAGTGCTTACTCTGAGCCAGACTTTGAACTTTGTGCTGGGGACACAGAGAGGAGCCATTTTACTTTCTACACCTTAAGACATTTGAATCCAATGACCATCTCTTAATCTTGGGGTCCGGGAGGCAGGTCAGGTCAGGCCCTTGGGGAAGGAAGGACAGCTGGGATTTTAGGGACCTTGCTTGGCTCCATCCATCTATTCCAGGCTTCTCAGGAAGTCTCTGTTTTCTCTTTTTCAGCATATGACTGTGACTTCTTTAACAAAGGTAAGTCCGTCCTCCCCAAGTGGAGCATTGGGGGCCAGGGCACGGCCAGACCTGCCCTATTTACCACAACAGAATCAGCCACACTGAGGCCCTGCTGGCTTGAAAGGGAAGAGCTGCAACACAAGGCAGGGAGGGACCCCATTATGCAGAGAAACCCTGGCAGATGCTCCAGAACTCCCTCCCCAAAAGCTCCTGCAGCCCCTGTCCACAGCCAAGACCACGCCATCTTCTGGGGTTGGTACCATCCAGGGCAGCTTTATCAGGAAGTAGAAACCCCATTTGCACCACCCCATTGGTACCACCCGGCAGCAATGTAGCTCACCAGGCCCATGGAGCATCTTCTTGGGTTTCTTGGAAGTTTCGAGTTGGCAAAGGCAAATGCAAACTGCTCATTCTGTTGATGAATGGGGCAAAACCTATAGCCTGGCTCAGCCTGTTGGATTCATCTTCAAATTTGGCCAGCACTGCAGGGTACCAGGATAGGCTCCAACTTCTGCATTAACTAGAGGGAAAACACAGGTCATGACTAAAGACTCAAGGAGGGTTAATGTCTAGCATTAGAGCTAATTATTCCATTGAATCACTGGGGTCAGGGGCAGGGGTGAGGGAGGGCTGCCCAGGGATAGTTTTCGGCAATGATCTCTGTCCATTTGGGCCAAATGCGGACTTTGGCAGAGTTAGATGCTCATCAGGTCCCTGGTGCCATTCAACTTTGACTTCCAAGCCTTCCTTACCACTTCTAGTCCTTCCAGAAGCAGGCTTATCCAAGGCCTTGTCTGCAGTTACCTGCATTATTAGATTTTGGTTTGAGAACAGTGGGTGAACCAGAGAGACACATACTGGAGACAAGGATACCATTAGGAGGGCTTCAGGGTGAGAGCTGGACCAGGGTGTAGCATTTTAATTCAGTGGCTGCTGTCCTGACAAAATGTTAGAACCCCTAGGGGCTCCTGATGGCCAAAAACCTTTAACTCCTAAAGGAATAAGTCTGTAGTGGAAGAATTGCAGTTGCTGGGACAGGCAAGGTCTGTCTGCCATCAGGCATGACATTTCAGCAAGACAGCTCTGAGCAGTTTTCTCCCTTCAGTGGCATTTTGGGTGGCAGTAACTGGCAAAGGATGAGCTGTTTCTAGCATCTCCACCTACCCACCTACCCGTCCTTTCCTTGCTCTGCTCTTCTACCAGCATTTTCTTGTCCAGGCCCTTGCTCGGTGCTGGGGAATCAGTGGACAGTGGGACCTGCCACAGTGGGGCACTGGAGCCCGCCCACCCTGGCTCTCTTGGATCAGCTATGTTTCTAACTCCACATTCAGTTGGTAGTTTGAAACTGACCACTGGTGGGAATATTTACACTATGGAAATCAGCAAGCACGACAAACTGAGGTTTTGTTTATTTTTTTGAGAGCTGACTGTTACCTGCTCACCAGCACAGCACTGCTTCTCTCCCAGCCAGTGAGGGAGACAGATGTGGACCCCCAGTCAAGATCCTTATCATACGAGCTGTGACCCGTGGGTGCCATGATCCAAGAACTGGTGGAACAGAGAGAAGGGATGACATTTGTGTGTGACAGGAGAGGGTGCAGGGACAAATTGTCAGTTTTAAGTAATAACAGAATGAATATTATTGATTTTTCCTTTTGTCTCAGACTCTCATGTGGCTTGGTGAGGCTCTATCACCCATTCTGTCTTTATTTTTAAATTTCTGATAATTTGTTCATGATGGCTATTTTGCATTAATTTTAAAATTAAGAAATATTGTGTGAAAATATTCTGTATCTTGATTGCTCCTTAAGTTTTGCACCCAAGGTGAACACTTGCTTTACCCTAGTTCAGTCCTCATGAGGGTATGGGGCAGATACTAGAGGTGGTCCCATCTTATATAGGACACTGAATTTCAGAGAGATTGAGTAACTTGTCCCAGGATGCACAGCTGATGAGTAAGAAACATGGGATTTGAACCCAGGGCTGACTCTAGATAGTTAGCTCTTTGCCACTCTTGCAGGCTACCTCCCATTGACCTGGTTCACCCTTGAAACCAGAGATTCAGAGATCTTCTAACTTTCTAGGTCAATCTTCTGAGCTCACAAGTGAGGAAAAACAGGTACCTGTCCATAACCACATGGTGGGTCAATCTCCTGACTCCTAGTGTTCTTCCCAGAGGGCAATGCCAAAATGGAAAAGAGTAGCGTTGATCATAGGGTTTGGGTTGGGGAGGAGTTAGTGGCTCTCTTCAGACCATGCCCATGAGTGAGGGAGGCTCCTCCTCAGGTTTTATCCAAGGTCTACGCAACTGGCTCCTCATGGCCTTGTTCCTGGCTATGGGTGCCCCCTGCAAGGTTCGGAGTTTACCCCAATGGGCTGAGGAATCAGTGCCCGAAATGACAGGGGAACAGGCTGTGGGTCTTCTTAACTGGGCCACTAGAGGGCGCACCAAACACACGCTTGGAGGAGCTTGTCAACCCCTGCTGCTGGAAACTGCACGTAGGGGCCTGAAAAGCGCCCTGAAAGGGGCCCCTAACCACCCAAGGCCTTTGGAAGACACTTCTGTCTTATGCTTGCATTCCTCCAGGACCTCCTGAAACATTTCTGGTTAGAGCTTCCACTCCTTGAATCTAATCTTGCCCTTTGGGGCCACACAAAATACACCCTTACTGTCTAACATTAAAGCATTAATTAATTAATTAATTAATTTAATACATCTGAGTGCTTACTCTGAGCCAGACTTTGAACTTTGTGCTGGGGACACAGAGAGGAGCCATTTTACTTTCTACACCTTAAGACATTTGAATCCAATGACCATCTCTTAATCTTGGGGTCCGGGAGGCAGGTCAGGTCAGGCCCTTGGGGAAGGAAGGACAGCTGGGATTTTAGGGACCTTGCTTGGCTCCATCCATCTATTCCAGGCTTCTCAGGAAGTCTCTGTTTTCTCTTTTTCAGCATATGACTGTGACTTCTTTAACAAAGGTAAGTCCGTCCTCCCCAAGTGGAGCATTGGGGGCCAGGGCACGGCCAGACCTGCCCTATTTACCACAACAGAATCAGCCACACTGAGGCCCGGCTGGCTTGAAAGGGAAGAGCTGCAACACAAGGCAGGGAGGGACCCCATTATGCAGAGAAACCCTGGCAGATGCTCCAGAACTCCCTCCCCAAAAGCTCCTGCAGCCCCTGTCCACAGCCAAGACCAGGCCATCTTCTGGGGTTGGTACCATCCAGGGCAGCTTTATCAGGAAGTAGAAACCCCATTTGCACCACCCCATTGGTACCACCCGGCAGCAATGTAGCTCACCAGGCCCATGGAGCATCTTCTTGGGTTTCTTGGAAGTTTCGAGTTGGCAAAGGCAAATGCAAACTGCTCATTCTGTTGATGAATGGGGCAAAACCTATAGCCTGGCTCAGCCTGTTGGATTCATCTTCAAATTTGGCCAGCACTGCAGGGTACCAGGATAGGCTCCAACTTCTGCATTAACTAGAGGGAAAACACAGGTCATGACTAAAGACTCAAGGAGGGTTAATGTCTAGCATTAGAGCTAATTATTCCATTGAATCACTGGGGTCAGGGGCAGGGGTGAGGGAGGGCTGCCCAGGGATAGTTTTCGGCAATGATCTCTGTCCATTTGGGCCAAATGCGGACTTTGGCAGAGTTAGATGCTCATCAGGTCCCTGGTGCCATTCAACTTTGACTTCCAAGCCTTCCTTACCACTTCTAGTCCTTCCAGAAGCAGGCTTATCCAAGGCCTTGTCTGCAGTTACCTGCATTATTAGATTTTGGTTTGAGAACAGTGGGTGAACCAGAGAGACACATACTGGAGACAAGGATACCATTAGGAGGGCTTCAGGGTGAGAGTTGGACCAGGGTGTAGCATTATAATTCAGTGGCTGCTGTCCTGACAAAATGTTAGAACCCCTAGGGGCTCCTGATGGCCAAAAACCTTTAACTCCTAAAGGAATAAGTCTGTAGTGGAAGAATTGCAGTTGCTGGGACAGGCAAGGTCTGTCTGCCATCAGGCATGACATTTCAGCAAGACAGCTCTGAGCAGTTTTCTCCCTTCAGTGGCATTTTGGGTGGCAGTAACTGGCAAAGGATGAGCTGTTTCTAGCATCTCCACCTACCCACCTACCCGTCCTTTCCTTGCTCTGCTCTTCTACCAGCATTTTCTTGTCCAGGCCCTTGCTCGGTGCTGGGGAATCAGTGGACAGTGGGACCTGCCACAGTGGGGCACTGGAGCCCGCCCACCCTGGCTCTCTTGGATCAGCTATGTTTCTAACTCCACATTCAGTTGGTAGTTTGAAACTGACCACTGGTGGGAATATTTACACTATGGAAATCAGCAAGCACGACAAACTGAGGTTTTGTTTATTTTTTTGAGAGCTGACTGTTACCTGCTCACCAGCACAGCACTGCTTCTCTCCCAGCCAGTGAGGGAGACAGATGTGGACCCCCAGTCAAGATCCTTATCATACGAGCTGTGACCCGTGGGTGCCATGATCCAAGAACTGGTGGAACAGAGAGAAGGGATGACATTTGTGTGTGACAGGAGAGGGTGCAGGGACAGCTTCACAGGGAGGTGACATTTGAGCTAGGCCCCGGAGATTCCATAAGCATTTGCCAGGCATAAAACAGGGAGCCCTCCTCTGAGTGGGTGGGACAGCATGAGTGGAAACACAGGTGGGGCACAGTCCAGCTCTTTTAAGGAAGAGCAATAGAAGTTTGGTGAGGCAGGGGCAAAGGTGTGGGGAGGTGAAGAGACAGGCAGGGCTGGGGCAGGAAGGGTCCCTGAATTCAAGGTGGGCTCTTGGATTCTATTCTGAGGGCAATGGGGAGCGATTGAAGAGTGTGGCTAGAAAGGTGGCTCAGGCACCTGTGAAGAGGAGGCCTAGTGGGTGGAGGACACCCCAGAGGCAGGGAGGTCAGTTATTAGGCTGTTGCAATTGTCTAGGCGACCTATGCCCCTCTCCAGCCTATGCTGACAACTGCAGGAACCCAAGAGACACAAAAACGACACATGTTCAAAATGAGAAGATGAACAGCAAGGCTGAGCCTGAACCTTCCCAGCCTTTATCCCTCAGGCCTCGGGTAGGCAGAGACCAGGGCTGATATCTTCTCCCAGAGGCGACCCTGAATAAATCAGCGGCTGGAATGGTAGCCTCAGGCAGTGGGACAGGTCCATTGAGAGACATCTGGGGGCCCAGAGGCCCCCATGGGTGCCTTGTTCCCAGTTCCATGAAATGAGTCAGGCACTGGGCAGTGGATCAGTTCCCATCAGGGGCTGAGAGCCTGGGGCTCCAGTCTCTTCCTTCTCGTGGAAATCAAGGTCCCTGAGGCCTTGGTGAGGGAAGAGACCAAGAGGAGCCCTTTCGTCCCGTCTCTTCCCCACGTCCTGCAGGATGAGCAGGCAGGGATGGTAGGCAGGCAAAGGCCCCCGGAGGCAGGGCTTATGACTGGGCCCCTTCTCTCCAGGGTTAGGTAAGGGCCCCTACCAGCTGGTCAGCTGGGCGGCCGGTGGAGCCCTGGTGGCCGTGGAGGTGGCGGGCAGTGCCACAGTCCTTGTGAGCGCAAAGAATGTAGCACCAGGGGACATTGTGAACTTCCTAATGATGGCTGCACTGTTCAAGGCCAAGGCCCACGGTAAGGCCCACCTCCAGCCCCACTCCTGCCCTTGGTGGAGGGAGGCAGCTTCTGGAGGAGGGGAGGGTGCTGAGGCCCTACACTGTCTGCAGGCGCTGGAGAAGAGTGGACTCCAGCAGGCGCCCTTTTCCCCCTGGACTCGAGGTCAGCCTCTTAGCCTCTCTGAAGAAATGACTCCCATCTTCTTTCTGAAACAAACACACAAACGAGGGAGACAAAGATCCACATGTACCTTTGTACTTTGCTTTACAACAGCTGCTGCTGCCTCTCCCTCTGCCTCTCCCCATCACTCTCTTTCTTACTCTCTCCTCCCTCCCCACCTGCACTTCCTTCTCCTTGTCCCTCCATTTGTAACCCCCAGAGGGGAGCTGGCTGTGCTCTGACTGGGCAGGCCCTTCTCCTGTGAATGGAGGAGCCGGCTCTCATCTGTTCAGGTTATGATCCTGAATTCATTCGGGACTGGTGGGTTACAGAGACTGGGGCATACCTGGAACCAGCCACAGCCTCCTGGGTCACACTGCCTGTAGACCTAAAGGGCTTAGGTTGGTGGGCACGGCCCTCTTTTAGAGTTCAGTAGTGCCTGAGGGGGGCAGTAGTGCCTGGTGAGAGGCTCAGGCCTAATGACTGCTGAACCCTTCCCTCTGTGACCTTTTCTGTTCTGCATTTCTTCCTATCAAGGCCCAATGCAGGGGACGCCTCCTCCACGTAGCTGCCCAGGTTGCTCCTGGAATGCACTATTTTTTCCTGCTGCTATCCAGGACTCTGGGCATGGCACAAGGGAAGAAGCACAGTATGGGGTGAGGGTGGGAGCCTGGGTCCTCACTTGGCTTTTCCCCAGCTGCCCATGAGACCCAGACCACATAGGCGGGAAAGGCAGACTCACCAAGCTCCATGTTAGGCCTTTCACATATATCATATTGTTTATCCCTCACAATGGCCTAGAGGCATTAATTCACTTGCCCACAGCCAGCTGTGGTGGGCCAGGACTCCTGTATGCCCGCTTGTGGATCTGGGAACTGATGAGACCTACAGGGCCCTGTGCTGGGAGTTATCCACCCAGCAGTGAGCACCACTTTCTAGAAATGGGCCTTTGTAGAGACAGAAAAGAAGGGAGTGGGCGCCAGCTCTAGGGCTCTGGGCAAGCACCCTGCCCTCTCTGGACACTGTTTTCCCATCTGTGGATTGGACTCAGCATCCCCTAGGTCTGCCAGCTCTGACCCTCTGGGATTCTGTGGAGTAGCACCATGCTGGGGTCACTGAAAGACAGAATCACGAAACCTCAGCTTGTCCAGTCTGCCCACTGGAGCAGAACTCTGCCAGGGCAGCCGTTTCTGTCTGTGCTGTTCGCTGCTGTATCCCTGGCATCTAGAATTTCACCTGGCATGCAGAGCTACTCAAAATGTTTGCAGGAGGAAGAAAGGAAGGAAGGAGGGAAAAAGGGACAGAGGAAGGAAGCAAACAAGGGAAAGGAGGGAAGAAGGGAGGGAAGAAAGGTCACCTCCCCAAGGCTTAGCAAGTGACAGCTTCCCTGAGCGGCCATTTCCCTTGGTGGTGGTGGGTACAGGGGGCAACCAGCAGCAGCAGGAGGTGGGCTGAGGGGAGACAGGGCAGGCAGGCAGGGGCAGGCCCAGCTAGCCACTCAGAGCGCAGACACATGCCCAGGTGCTATGCCTACATCTGGACCGTTCTCTGTGCTGACCTTCCCCACGTGGCTCTTTGCAGACCCTGATGCCGTGTCCCTGGAGGCAGCAGACAGACCCAACTTCTTCCTCCACGTCACAGCCAATGGGTCTCTGGAGCTAGCTAAGTGGCAGGGCAGTGATGCCTTCCACCTCCGTGCCTCTTTCTTGCTGCACCGGGGGACATGGCGGGCAGGCCTGGTGGCCCTGGAGTCCCTGGCAGAGCCTGGGTCCTTTCTTTATGTATCAGGCTCTGCCGTGGCCCTGAGGCCACATGAGCACGTGGAGGCATTCCGCCGGGGCACACTCTTCCGCCTTGTGGGTAGGTGTCTGCCCTTGCCCTTGCCCTTGCCCTCAGCCCTTCACTCAGTTGCCTTTTTGTCCTCTTCCCTCCACCATTCTAATTGCCCCTCAGAGAGCATCCTCACTTTCCTGGCCCAGGGAGGCCCCACTGGTGTCCCTCCTGAGATGCGAGGTGGCCCAGCCTCCATGTTGGTGGCCTAGGGAGCTGCAGGCAGTGTGGTTTGGGGCTGAGCCAGCTTCCTGGGTCCTGCTTACTCCCACAGGCCAATTACACGGTCTAAAAATAGGGCGGCCTTTGCAGAAGCGAATTGAGAAGTGCTTATGGCTGCAGCTTGCCTGGCCTCACTGGTTCAGGTTTCTTGCTGATGGGACCACATGCCTGCCCCGTGAGTTCAAAGACCACCCACTGGGCCACCAGGCTGAGGAGCCAGCAGCCTCCCCTGTCCCCCACAGGAGGCTCAGGACCCTGGGCAGTGATGGGGCAGCTCCACACTCTTTGCAGCTGAGGCCAACAGGTTCCAGAGCTTTGTCATCCCCCTGCCAGGGTGGTCTGCCCCCAAGTGTTTGTTCTCTGCTTAACCCCTGGAGGAAGTGATCACAATTTCTTTACCACTCCAGGCTGGCCCTCTGGGATGCATGTGCACATGTATGTTTGTGCCTGTAAGGGTGCCTTGTGCTGCACGAATGGACCCACTTACATGAAAACATTATCTACAGCCAGTCTCTTCATTACCATCTCTCCAAAACCAGGGCTGGGCCAGCTCATTCATACATTCAGTGGTCATCTAGGAAGTCTGTCAGTGAACCCCACCTCAGGACAGATCCATCCTGACTATGATAGCAGAATTTGTGTCCCTTTCTGGAAGACAAGAATGGAATGAGCCCAAGGCTTTGAAACCAAACAACTTGAGTTTGAATCCTGACTGCGGTCCTTGACACTTAGAGGAGAGCCTTCCTCCTGACTCTGTTTCTTCACCTTGTGCAGTGGGGATGCCTGCTGCAGAGCCTGCCCACACACCCCTGCTCTGGCCTCGGTCAGAGACCAGTTGTTTGTGCCCAGGTGGGCTGGGGTTGGTCTGCTTTGAAGCTCACCATAGGCTGCAGGCATCCCTGAGGACCCCTCATCCATCCAGGCACTGGTCACAGGGACTTTTTTGAAGAAATATCCCCTGGGAAAGTTTAATTTTCACAGCTGCTTGAATGTCTCAGTTTCCTCATTTATAAAATGGAGATGATAAATGTTCTTTATAGGATTATGGTGAGGATTAATGAATGAATTACTTGTGAAATTGTGAATGTGTGCTTGGTGCTATTTAAGAGTTGGCTATTGTTGTTAATATTAGCCACCAAGGTCCCAGAGTGGCGGGTGATGAGACCACCATCTTATGGGGAAACAGAAGCCCCAGCCTCCTCTCTGGCCACGCTGCAAAGCCCACCACCACCTGACTGCTCTGTAGCTTCCCCCCATACCATGTTCCCAGGGCCCTCTCCCAAGGGTCCCCTAGGCACCAACCCCAACTCTCAGGAATACAGTTTCCCCTTAGGTTGGCTTTTATTTTACTTTATTCACTTTTCCTGCATGAGGACATTTGTTTCTTTCATGGGGCAGAGGGGTGACGGGCTGACCTGGGATTACCTCTGTGCTCTGGAGCTGGCACCCATTCTCTCTCAGTCTCAGGACTCTGGGTGGGTCACTTTTCCAGATGCCAAGCCCTCAGGGGCTGGGTACCCCATCTGTGAGTGGCGCTATGATGCCTGTACCAGCCCCTGCTTCCAAACCTGCCGGGACCCGCAGGCAGCCAGCTGCAGGGACGTGCCCAGGTGAGGTGGCATGGAGTCGAGGTGTGTATATCAGTGTGTTTGAGTGTACATGTGTCTGAATGGGCTGTGGGCATAGGACTGAGCATGTGCTGAGGGATGTGTGTGTGCACTCCCATATACCTGTGCATGTTCTGTGTGCTGGGTGTACAGGAATGTGTGTACCAGAGTGAACTGCCTCATCCAGGCATATGTGAATATTGATTTGTGCATGATGTGCATATAGCTGAGCTCTGTGTGTGTTTGCAGGGGTTTACAAGTGTGTGTGGTCTATACACAGCTGTGCATTTTTACATGTGTATGAGCTGCAGGTATTTGGGAGTTGGTACAACTGTGTGTGCACATGAGAGTGTCTACACTGATGTTTTGGCCCTCTGTGTGAACGTTTATGTACTTGTGAAGATTTTTGAATCTTGCAAGTGTGGAGAAGGTATGTGAGAATGTGCCTAAGTAGAGACATACATGAGCATGTGTGAACAGGTACACAGTGTGTGCAGAACCAGAGCTGGTTCATGTTTCCCTCTCCATCTGAGAGGCCATGCATGTGGGGGACTGTGCTCCTGTATATGTCCTGTACATGTACAGTGTCTCCATGGAAGCTCACATGAGTGTGCACATGATAAGCACACACACACACGTGTGTGTGTCATAAGAAAGGATAAGACCTGTGCTTAGTCCAGGTGAAAAGAGGTGACTGTCCCTGTATTCAAGACTGCTAACTGGCTCCCTGCTCTGTCCTCAGGGTAGAAGGCTGTGTGCCTGTGTGCCCCACCCCCAAGGTCCTGGATGAAGTCACACAGAGATGCGTCTACTTGGAGGACTGTGAGTGGCATGGACTTCTTTCCCGCCCAGGATTTCCAGTAAATCCCCAGGGTCTCATTGCCCAGTCATGACCTGCCAGGTCCCTGGAGAAGCAGGGTCAGCAGAGGGGCCTCCAGAAAGAGAGTGCTGTAAAGCAGGCAGGAATCTCATTGGGTACATTCTCCTCAGTTCACAGAGAAAAAATGAGGCGCAGGATGGGAAGGGGCTGGCTTGGGGTAATGTGGTGAGAACACGGTGCAGCCAGACTTAGAGCTGAGGTCTTCAGGCTCTGGGCTCAGGGTTGAAGTACGGAGCAGAATCCAGACCTACTGACTCCTCTGAGCCATCTGCACCACTTGACAGAGGCCCCAGGTTGGTTGTGCAGACCGATCAGCCATTGGAAGCTTCCCCCGCTCACCTAGAGAGCCCCATATCATAGCCCTTCCCAGTGATGGCCCCCTGGACTGCAGCCACCCCCTGAACAGCCACTGTCTGAGCTGCTTCTCTCATCTGCCCAGGTGTGGAGCCTGCAGTTTTGGGTCCCACAGAGGCCCTTGGCAATGAGACCCTGCCTCCCACTCAAGAGCTGCCCACCCTGAGTGACAAGGAGCTACAGTTTCCACAGGAGGCTCTGGGGGCTGCCTCTGCCAGGCCAGCACTCACCCCAGCTGCCCAAGTCACCATGGGCCTGAACCCCCCCATGGGACCCACTGAGGGACCTGTGCTGTCCCTAGGCCCCACCCAGGCCACTCTGCAGCAGCCACTGGGGGGCACTGCATCTGACCTCCCTGCCTACCCCACACAGGCCCTGGCTGGCCACTTGGCCACACCCCATGTCCCAGAGTCTGCATCCCTCCTTCTTTCCCAGCAGACACCCACACCTGGCATGGGGCCAGGTGCCATGGAGATAGCCAGGGTTACTGTGACCTTTGCAGGGAGTCCCAACATCATAGTCTCCTCCCGGTCTCCCCCTGTACCTCGCTTCCCTGTCATGACCAAAGCCATGACAGTCCCAGGCCCTGGCTCCTTGCCTGTTAAGATGACACCCCTCCAGTCCTTCCCGAGCCTGGGGTTGCCTGCAAGCCCCTCCTCCAGGCCTGAGGCTTCCCAGGCAGTGACCACCAGGCCCCCTACTTCCTCAGAATCCTATGAAGCTTTGCTGACACCTGCAATAATGAAGGTCATGAACAGGACAGGGGTCCCCCAGAGCATTTCCAGTCCCAGCAGCCTCCCAGCTGAGGCTAGAACAGCAGCAGAACAGGTTCCTGTCAGTCCCCCAGTGACCAGGAGAGTAGAGATGGTACCATCCACAGAGCAGCTCCAAGCTGAGCCTGGCCAGCCCATGGGCCTACCAGCATCCCTACTTCCAAGCCCATTCCCCACTGCCCAGCACACCACCCCAGCCTCCAGGCCACCAGCTGCTCCCCCAGGAACTCCAGCTGCTGCCAGCCAGCCAGTTGCTCATGGGCTGGGGGCCACACCCTTTGTGTCTCTGGAGTCAACTGGGCCACCCCAGCTCCTCTCTGGCCTGCCTCCTGACACCAGCCTGCCCCTAGCCAAGGTGGGCACGTCTGTCCCAGTGGCCACGCCTGGCCCCAAGGGCTCTGTCATCACCTCTCTGCTCCAGCAACAGGCCACATCTCCTGCCATTGCCATGACTCCACCCACTCGGACACTCAGCCCAGAACCGCCTCTCACCCCAGCTGTTGTGGCCCAGGCGCACCCACCCAGTCACACAGTGTCTCAGGCAACAGGCACAGCTCCAGGCCCGCTTCTGGGAGCCACACTGCCAACCTCTGGAGTGATGGCCGTGGCTGAGGGGGCAGCCTCCACGGTATCTGTTGCCCCACGAAAGAGCACCATGGAGAAGATGGCCATCTCTTCCAAGCAAGTGTCCCTGCCCACCGGGATATATGGCTCCACCCAGGGCAGGCCCACAGCATTCACACCTGCTGTGGTCCACACTCTTACTCCCTTGGTGTCTGAGGCCGAGGCACCCTGGGCCAGCTCAGTGCCCCTGGTGCCCACATCCTACCCCCTGAGCCATGTCTCTGCCAGGACTGCCTCCCAGGAAAGCTCATTGGTTCTGCTCCCTCAGCTGGCTGAGGCCCACGGAACCTCGGCAGGACCTCAGCTGGCAGCGGGGCCAGCAGGAGAGGCCACCACCAAGCAGTCTGGGCGCTCGGCCCCAGCCCAGAGCATCTCAGAGGGTTTGGCTGAGGCCTCAGCAGCCACCACTGAGGCCAATACGTCAGCCTCCTGTGCTGTGAGTGATTTGTCAGGGTTCTGCTGCCTGTATGGGCAGCCTCCGTGCCTCTCCTCCTCCTGTGCCACTCAGACACCATGATGCTCTCACATTCCTCAAGACCTGTGGCAGCTTCTCCTTAACCAGTTGCCAGGCTGCACAATGGGAGTGTACTTACCATCCTCTCCCCTGCCCCAAGTTCCAGGAGCCTGAAAATTCTCAGGCTCCTCTGGGCCCCTGATGTCACAGCAGAGTCCCACCATGCCCCATCTGGGCCCCAGGATGATTGGACAGCTTAGTGTGACACCCAGAATGTGCCAACACGATTGTGCCAGTGTGAGCATGTTCCTGTCTGTGTATCCACACAGGACAGTGTGTGCACGTTTGTGTTTGCAGGTGTGAAATTCAGTGTGAGCACTCTCATATATCTGTATGTATGCTTGTGTGTGTGTCATACATGGTGTTGCAAGACAGTGTGTCTCTGCATTTGTAAGAAATAGAGATCAAGACAGTGTGTATGAGTGTGTGTGTGCACTCTCACTCACCCATGAGTGTGCTTGGGTTTCTATGACTCAGCTGGCATGTCTGCATGCCTGTATACTTGGAGCTCTCTGCATGGATATGTAGATAGACAGAGGTGTTTGGTCAAGACAGGGCTCAGTCAGTCCCCTGGCCTCCAACCTCACACAGTCCGGCTCCAGGCCCCCTGCTGGGTGTTGAGTGGGTGGAGGGTAAGGACACCATTCCCTAGTAATTTTAGCTCTGGGTCCCCTGCCTTGCTGTAACCTACATTGGAAAGGATTTGAGAAGTCCAGGCTTGGGGGTTGGGTGGGATGGTAGCATGCTTAACTGTGACCCCTAAGGTCGGCACCCATGCTGTCCCTCCATCTTGTTCCCCAGCCTATCGATGAGCAAGACTGCATCCGCCACATCTGCCTGGAGGGCCAGCTGATTCGTGTGAACCAGTCGCAACACTGTCCCCAGGGCACAGCCCTCCCTCGGTGTGGAGTCCTGGGCCTCCCTGTGAGGGTGGGCGGGGACCGCTGCTGCCCGCTCTGGGAGTGTGCCTGTGAGTCCTGGGGTCCACCAGGGCCTCCCCAGGCCTCCTCATACCCCTATCCCAGTGTGACCTCCACCCCGGGCATGTGTCCCTGGCCTCAGGGTAACCCTGACCTGAAAGTGACCTCCCTGGGGACCTCTCACCTCAGCATGACCCTGACCTGGCAGATTTCCTACCCTGTGGCCTCTGACCTCTGTGCTGCCTGCTCTGAGAGACCTCCAGCCCCCAGGGCATCTGATTCACCCAGGAAAACGCCCAGGTGCCTGCCCAGTATTTCTGGGTGGTCTTGGCCCTGGGGGCATCTGTGTATTATTCTCATCCCTACCCCAGGCCGATGCTCAATCTTTCCTGATCTGAGCTTTGTGACGTTTGATGGGAGCCATGCAGCCCTGTTCAAAGAGGCCATCTACATCCTCACCCAGAGCCCCAGAGAAATGGTCACTGTCCATGTCCTCGACTGCAAAAGCGCCAACCTGGTGACTGTCCCCTACTTCCCTTTCTAGAGGGGAGACTGAGCAGTGAGTTGGGTTTTGAGGGGTGTCAGAAGCAAGGATGTGGAGGCCCTAACAGCCGCTCCCTCTGCAGGGGTCTCCCAGAATGGGTCGTGGGGAAAGGGTGAGCAGAGAGCGCCACCTCCTGGCTCTTCCTGGAGCCTGCACCCTTCCCAGCTTGACCCAGCTGCCTGGACCCCGTGGGAGGCCCTGAAGTGCGGAGGGGCTGAGATGCCCCTCCAAGGATGTGACCTGTGGTGAAGGGTGCCGGCTGCAAGGAATCACCTCCTAGGGTCCCTCCATGAACCAGGAAGGAGGGAGCTATTATTTTGTGGGGGACCGGTCGTGAGTAAGGTCAAAGTGGAACAGAAGAGCTAGGATTCTGTGCACCACTGCACAGCTCCGATAAGTTCCCCTGCGAGCAGACGGTGGGGAGAATGTGCTCCCAGGGGCTCACCAGGAGGAGGTGCAAGGGCCGGGCCCCAGGTTGATGAGGGCTGGGCTTTTTCTGCAGGGCCACCTGAACTGGCCCCCTTTCTGTCTGGTGATGCTGAATCTGACTCATCAGCCCCATCAGGTCACCATTGACCGCTTCAACAGGAAGGTGAGTGCCTCAAAGAGCTGCCCTCCTAGGGCAGGGCGGTAGTCAGCTGAGGGGCAGTGTGTCCAAAGTGGAGAGGCCTTGAGGCTTATTCATGACTGGGGGCAAGGGTGGGGAGGGACCTTCCTAAAGAAAAACAATGCAAAACTTGTTATATGTGGAAGTGATTTTCATTAGAATATTTGTGACCACATTAATGTCAGGGGAGGGTGTACCAGGAGGAATATTGTATGGAGAGAAAGTTAGAATGGCAAGCAAAAGTGTAGCCTTATGTGATTGTGGTTATTGTGATTCTACAATGTTTTAAAAAATATTTGGCCATGTGAGCACATTACTAGGCCCTCTTCCAGAAAGGAACTGTATAAGTGAGGGACCTTGAATTTAAGCTTCATTAGCTTCACGCTAAGCCCACCTCTGTCAAGGTGGCCAGTGGCCAGCTGCAGCCCATACTTGAGTGGTTCCCTCCCCAAGGGCCTGCATTTACTCCTCCCAAAAGGTGGGTGAGAGGGGCTGATTCATCTCCTCAGGTACCCAAGTCCTGACTCTCCCACCCATTTCTGGGTCAAGACCTGAAGCCCTTCTGTTGGAAACTTCCTTTGAACACCAGCCATGGGGGCCATCACACCCTGGGGGTTCTCAGAAATGGGGCTCTGTGAGATGGAAGCTTAAGCAAAATCTCCCTGTTTTCATCCCTTAAGTTTTAAATTTTTTCCATTAGAGAAAATGAGCTGTAACTTATGAACAGTAGAATTCACCCCTGTCAGTGTATGATTCTATGTTTTAACAAACACCCATGACCACAATCACAGTGTAGAATAGTTCACCACCCCAAACTTTGACCCATGCCACTTTGTTATCAACTCTTCTCCCACCTCCTGACAACCACTGCCTTCTGTCCCTGTGGTTTTGCCTTTTCCAGAAGGTCATCTAAGTGAAATCAGAGTCTAGAGTGAGATTCATCTCTGTTGTTGCATGTATCCTTAGTTTGTTGCTTTTGATTGTTGAGTACTATTCCACTGTATGGATGTACCACAGTGTCCATTTGCCAGCTGAAAGACACCTGGGCTGTTTCCAGTTTGGCGTGATAACAAATAAAGCTGCTGTAAATATTCACATAAAGGTTTTGTATAGATAAAGTCCCTTGGACTGGATTGCTGGGTTGTATTGTAAGGGCATGTTTAAATTCACAATTACTTGCTAAATTTCTTTCTAAGGTGAGCATTTAACATTCCTACCGACAGTGTCTGAGAGCTCCAGGTGCTTCACAGCCTTGCTGGCACTTGGGAGCATGAGTTGTTTTGTTTTTTAAGTCATTCTCACAGATATAAAGGAAGATCTCATTGTGATTCTAATTTGCATTTCCCTAATTGCTGATAATGTTGAGTGTCTTTTGATGGGTTTATCTTCCATGGTGTATCCTCTTTGGTGAAGTGTCTGTTCCAATCTTTAGCATGTTTTAAAGATGAAGTTGTCTGTTTTATTGGGTTTTAAGAATTCTTTATATATCTTGGGTATAGGTCCTTTCTTAGGTATAAATATTATCTCCCAGTTGGTAGCATGTTTTTTGCATTCACCTGTGTCTTTCAAAAGGCAGGAGTTTTTAATTTTGATGGAGTCCAATTTATCAATTTTTGTAATGGATCATGATTTTGGTGTTTTACTTGATAAACCTTTGCCTAGCCCAAGGTCACAAATCTTTGCTTTTACATTTTCTTCTAGAAGTTTTATAGTTTTAGGTATTACTTTTAGATGTATGTTGCATTTTAAGTTGGTATTTATAAATGGTATGAGGTGTGGGTTAAGGACAGGGTCAGAGGGGGCCGCTGTAGAGCTTCTGAGCTCGTTCCCTCCTTCGCTCTGTCTCTGTTACCCACTCTCACCTCTCCCCGGCCCTCTTCTCTTCGGTATTGTGCTGTGCAAACTCTGGTTATCTTGGCCTCTGTGAACTCCCAACTCTTGTCTCATAAATTCGGGGAGCCCACCAGGCTGGGCCTGGCCTCTACCTTCCTCAGCTGTGGCCTGGAAGCAATAACCTTGGGCAGTCATAAGACTCACCTCGTTTATTTCACCTTTCTCAGGCATCACAACTGTTCAAAGCCTGGAGACTATTGTTTTATATATTTTGTCAGGCTTTTTGGTTGTTTAAGACAAAAGGGTATATCCAGTCCTTATTACTCCATCTTGGTCAGAAGCTGAAGCCCAAGTCCTTCATTTTGAAACTTTTGTCTTTTGTCCTTACTTGGACTTGGAGTCTTTTGAACACAGATGAGGATGCCTAGGCTTCAGAAATGAGTGTCACATCCTGAATGGGGACAACAGTCCAGGATCATGGAGCCCAAGCTGCTGTCTGTGCAGCTAGGAAGGCTCAGGCTGTGGGAGCCTTTCCCAAGGTCAAAGTGTTTTTTCGACTGTTGGGCTTGGTGGCCCTCTACTCAACACAGTAGTTCATGTACTGGATAATTTGCAAAAGTGATTAATAAAACAGTAATTCCTGGTGTGGGAGGAGGTCTGAAGTCATCATAAATATTTTAAAATCCGAATCTTTTCATCTCCCTTTTCTATAGAGTAAAACTAGTAATCCATAATACATACAATTTAACCTTGCCAATATGTAGCAGAAGTTGCTTTGCATTTAAAGTGTTTGAAAGAATTAGGGTGTGTTGCATATTTAACAAACATGGATTGAGCCCCAATTTATGTCAGGCCCAAAGGCAGGAGGTGCTGAGAATTCAAATGTGAATCACACATAGCTTCTGTCCTTAAGAAACTCATGGTCTGTTGAGGGCCTTGATTCTGTTCTAGTGGTCAGTACACAGGTGGGGAGACCGCGCAGAAGGGGTGCTCAACCTAGAGGCTGGGATTAGGGAAAATCTCCTAGAAGAAAAGGTCTGAATAGACTCAAGAAAGAAGAGAATGATTAGAAGGGCTGAGGATTTGTGTTTATTTGTGCATAGAGAGGCAGCCTGCCCCCAGCTGGTGCATTTCTTGTTTCACTGTTTTGTGCTCACAAAAATGTTTTCAGAATCCTTCTATGCCACCTTGGACTATGTTTTATCCACATGTGCCTAAAACAGAGCCTTTCATATAGCAGGTTCTTAATAACTGTGTGTTGGATAAATGGGTGGGTGGATGGAATGACAGATGGACAAGCTGTGCTCACATTGAACGCTCTCCCCCAACAAGGTGATTGTGGACTCACAGCTTGTGGGCCCCCCCATGAGCAGGCATGGGTTCAGAATTGAGGACACAGGCCACATGTACGTGATCCGGACGCCATCACACATCCAGATCCAGTGGCTCCACAGCTCAGGACTCATGATCCTGGAGGCCAGCAAAACCAGCGAAGCCCAGGGTCGTGGTCTGTGCGGTGAGGAGGGCCCCTGCTGGGGGGAGAGCCATGCTTCCTGGGCCCACCTCTGTCCCCACACACGAGTTCCCCTGGATCAGTGAAAGGTGGGACAGAGTGCCAGGCCAGAGACAGGAGCAGCAGAGCTGCCAGGGCAGGCAGGCCCAATGTCTGGTGTTCTGGGGCTGGACCTGCGAGCAGAGAGATGGCTCAGGGATCTGGCCTCAGCCAGTTGTCACTTCAGCCAGGATTGTCTGTCAGCTTCCTTGATAGTTTCCTAATACCAAATAATCCTTCCTGTCTGCATATGCCTGGGCACTTTACAAAGCACTTCCACACTCTGATCTCACTTATACCAGGTCATCCACACAATAGCTCTGAGACACGGCCATTGAGCTAAAGAAGAAAGGGGGCTCAGAGAGGTTAAGTGGCTTGCTGAAGGTCACACAGCTGAGCTGCCACAGCACATTGAACTAGTGCTCTGCAGACCACAGCATCATTGCAGAGAGCATGCTCTAAAGGACCAGTGTACTTTGATTAAAAAAAGGGGTATAGGAGGAATTCGAGTGTAGACTGCTGCCCTTTGCAGGGGCAGAAGGACATGGGTCCTTTAAGGCACTCCGCGACAGACCGCACTGATTATGATGATGGTCGACATAGGAATACTTACAGAAACACACATATTTGTGTTCCCTCCAGTCATGAATCTTCACCCACTGTGTTCATTCACACTCATGTTCCTGTATTCAAAATGCCCTCTATGCATGAGCTGACACAGGTAGGTCTGCTCCACGCTCATTCTTTCATTTGTGCCACACATATTTACCATGTTCCAATCCCTGGGGATGGAACACTAGGCAAAACAGACAAAATCCCTGTCTTGTGAAGCTCCCGCTCTCCCTGACGGCTCTCCTTAAACACACACCCCACCACTCCCACCTCTGCCACCCTTTCTTACCATTTCTTCCTCCTACTATTCATGCCTGGCAAGGAGCGCTATGGCCAGCAGTTGTCTGGAGGGTCAGCTTCTCCCTAGGACACATTTGGGACACCCTTTTGTAACTCAAATCCAAAACCAAAACTATGACCACTGGGACCATTGATACAATCTGAGGGGGTTGTTTAATCATGCTTTATATTCACAACACTAGTGTCTGGAGGTGTCAGAGCAAAAGTCAGCAAATTTATCTCTATTTGGGATCCCGGGCACCCTGCTAGGCAACATGGAGGAATATCAAGAGAGTGAGACTCTGTAGAGGAAAATGAGTCTTGCACTCAGAGAGCAAGGCGGGGGCAAAGCAGACCTGTCTACAGACCTGGGATGGCCACAGGTGGGCCTGTCTGAGAAAGTGCTTTAAGTGGAGGGAACAGCATAAGCAAAGTCAAGGGCAGGGACATGTGTGTGTGGAGCCTAGAGTGAGAGATGAAGTTGGAAGTTAAGGTCATGTGAGAATCTGTGACAGATAAACTCCAGCCTGGCCCTTATATATATGCACTTTTCTATGTATTTGCAGTTTATATATGCATCTTTCTTAATCATTTGAAAGTATGTTTGAGACATTGTAACCCTTTATCCCTAAATACTTTGGTATGTATTTCCTCTAAACAAAGATGTTTTCTTATACAGCAGGTTTCTTCATTTCTTTGTGCCTTGTTTCTCTCATCTATAAAATGAAGATAATAGTAATACTGGCCTCAAAAAATTGTGAGGAATATGCCAAGTGACAGCTGGGAACCTGGGAGTGGTGATGATTATGTTTATTGGGATACTTCCACCCCTTTTTAGGTATCTGTGATGGAGATGCAGCCAATGACCTCACCCTGGAGGATGGTTCTGTGGTGGGTGGGGACGAGGACCCTGCTCCCTTCCTGGACAGCTGGCAGGTGCCCAGCTCCCTGACCTCAGTGGGCCAGACCCGCTTCCGCCCAGAGAGCTGTGCCACAGCCGACTGCTCACCCTGCCTTCGCATGGTGTCTAACCGCACCTTCAGCTCCTGCCACCACTTTGTATGTGTCACCCAGCCCAGCGTGGGGGGGACCTCCCGGGCTGGGAGTGGCAACGTCTACCACCCGCACCCTGGAGGAGGTGTTGAGCTTGGATGGCACTGGGACTCCACAGAAGCCCCTGGGCAGGGCTGGGAGGCAGCATGCCCTGCGACATGGGGAATTGGGTAGGCAGCACTGTCTCATGCACGTTCCCAGGTTTCCCCAGCATCGTTCTGTGAGCTGTGGATCCGAGACACCAAGTATGTGCAGCAGCCCTGCGTGGCACTGACTGTGTATGTGGCTATGTGCCACAAGTTCCACGTGTGCATCGAGTGGCGGCGCTCTGACTACTGTCGTGAGTTGCAGGGCAGGGGCAGCCGGATGGCGGAATGTTGCTTCTGTTGCCCCCACCCACTGTCTGAGTGGGCAAAGGGCTCACAGACCTGAGTCCATGTCTTGGCTTCCCCAGGTCTAAATAGTCATTCATTCATTCATTCATTTATTCATTCATTTTAATCAATAAATTCATAAATATTTTATAGATTAATCTGTAAATATATTAGTAAGTTAACAAAACTTTTATTACAATTATAAATCAAATGAATATTATTTGTTCATTATTTAATTTCTTTGAGTCTCCTTACCTCATCTGTGAAATGCGGACACTATTAATATTAAGCTCCCTCTAAGATTGTGTTGAAGAATGCATGAGATAATGTGTACAGGTTACCATCCAGTCAACGGTAGCTCCACCCTCTTAATGTTTGCGTATCTTTCTCTTTTTTGGTCTCTCCCCTCCTTCCTTGAGGATGGAAGTGAGCTTTGCCTTGTCCCTACCCTGATTGGTTTACATTAGTGAGGCAGGCAGGGGTGGACTGGCCTGTAGTAGTCTGACAAATGTGAACACGTCCAGAAGGCTGGGAAGAGCCCACAGGAAGACCACACCTATACTCTGACAAATAGTAGATGAAAAGACAAAATCAAGAATAGAGTTTTTCAAACTGTGGATCCCAACTCAGTGGGTATGAAATCAACTTTAGCCATCAGAACCAGCATTAGAAAAATGCAATAGAATAGTAATACACAGTGTGCATACTGTACCTAGAAAGATTAAGTATTATTTCATTACATAACAGTAACTCTCAATCCCACTACCTTTTGAAATCCCCCAGGAAATTTCAAAAATGATTAATGTTTGGGTTCTACAATCAGATTACAGTTCAGTTAGTCTAAGGTAGGATCCTGGCTATGGTATTTCAAAAGCTCCCAAGTGAATCTTCTGCAGTTGGGTTTGAAGATCACTGTTCTACATGCATGTGTGTATGGGACCACAATGTAAAATCTACTCTTTAAAGTCAAGAAAGTTTGAAAACACTGATCTAGAGGAAGGGGTTGGCAAAGGTATTCTGTAAAGGACCGCAGAGTAAATATTTGTGGCTTTTGGGGCCATATGGTCTCTGTCACAGTTACTCAAATCTTCACCTTTACAATACAGAAACAGCCAGATACAATAGGTAAATGAATGGGTGTAACTGTGTTTCAATAAAAGTTTATTTGCAAAGTCAGGAAGCAGGCCAGATTTGGGCTGTGGGCTGCACCTTGCTGACTCTGATCTAGAGGAGGGAGGTGATGACACCCAGCCGCTTTGCCCTCTCGGTCGAGGCACAGATGATGCTCTAAGGCCCCTCCTCACCCTGCCTGGGGTCTGACCTAGGCCTGGTGTCTGCTCTGTTCCTACAGCCTTCCTCTGCTCCAGTGACTCTGTATACCAGGCATGTGTAGCAGCCTGTGAGCCCCCTGAGACTTGCCAGGATAGGATGCTGGCTCCACTGGACCCAGAGCAGTGCCAGGTGCTGGGTGAGGGCTGTGTCTGCTCTGAGGGCACCATCTTGCACCGGCGCCACTCGGCACTCTGTGTCCCTGAGGAAAAGTGCGGTAGGTTCCTCCCCTCCCCAGCTGGCGCCCTCCAAAGCTGGCCTTACCCTGGTCTCCTTTGCACTTCTGCTGCCCATTAGAAGACCCACCTCATCCCTCCAGGTTTGCTTTGGGGGGGGCACTTGGTGTCCCAGGGAGGGTGTAGTCAGTACAGCCTGGGGTTCCCCAGCCTCCTCAGTCCCCTGTGCCTCACCATGCACCCTGCTACAGCCTGCACCGACAGCACAGGGGTGCCTCGGGCCCTGGGGGAGACCTGGAACAGCTCCCTCAGCGGCTGCTGCCAGCAGCAGTGCCAAGCTCTGGACACCATTGTCCCCCTGGACCCGGACTGCCCAGGCCCCCGTCCTGAGAGCTGCCCCCGTTTTGGAGAGGTGGCCCTGCTCCTGCCCACCGAGGATCCCTGCTGCCTGGGGACTGTTTGTGGTGAGTCCCACCCTTCACTTCCCTGGACCTCAACTGTACGATGGCCGAAAGGCTCCAGCTCTGCCTACTGACTTTGATGGATAGGACAAGGCCCAGGAGAATGAAAGAGTCTTGTGGGGGTGCACTTGGGGGAGTGGAGCATCTGGCCTGGGGGCAGAAACCACACCCTGTAAGTATGCAGTTGGGCTGAGAGGTTCAGGCTGCGAGGCTCGGCAGCCTGGTGGGCGTCCTCCACCACCCTGCAGCTTTGTGACCTTGGCAGGTCACTGAGCACCCTCTGTACCTTCAATGATTCTCCTGTAACATGAGGCTGACAATAGCACCCACCTTCTGGGTTGTTGCAAGAAATATACAAGTTAATGCTAATCTAGAAGAGTGGCTGGCACATGGCCCATCTCAATGAACATTAACTTTTAATGCTCTTCTGTCTGAGCCCTGGACCTTCTTTGTGACCCTCAGAGGTCCCTTCCAGGAACCTCGAGGCTGAGGGGAGTAATGGGGACAAGCTGTCCAGGGGCTGGGCAGGGCTGGAGGCTTGGGGCCCCAGGCTCCAGGTGACAGGCCCTGTGCCCCTGGGCCAGTGTGTAACCAGACTCTGTGTGAAGGCCTCACCCCCACCTGCCGGCCAGGCCACCGACTCCTCACCCACTTCCAGGAGGACTCCTGCTGCCCCAGCTACAGCTGTGGTGAGAGGCCCAGGGCAGGGAGAGTGGAATAGCTACCCCTGGGGCTGTGGGAGTCCTGCAGCTGGGCCAGGGGAGCAAGGACAGCTCTAGGGACTGGGTTCTGGCTGGAGATTAGGGCAGAGCCAGGGTGGGGGCTCGGGCGTGGCCAGACAGGGCCTGCTCCCAGCACCCAATTCTGTCTCGTCCCCAGAGTGTGACCCAGACCTGTGTGAGGCACAGCTGGTCCCCAGCTGCCGCCCGGATCAAATCCTGATCGCAGGCCGCCTGGGGGATTCGTGCTGCACCTCCTACTTCTGCGGTGGGTGGACATGCCATCAGATGTCAGCATGCACACCTGGGCTGCAGCGGCCCCCTGCCCCACCCCTGCCCCCTTGGGGTGCTGGAGGAAAGGGTGGGGGTCTTCAGGTGGGGTGGGCACATGGAGAAGGGTGAGCTCTCTGTCCAGAAAGAAGTATAGGAGGAAGAGGAAACTGGCCTGGCTTCATCCCATACATTACTGGGCACGAGGAAATTGGTGTTTGTTCATGTAAGACTTCAGGTGGACATGAGGAAGAACTTAACATTCTGACCCCAGGACAGGTCACATGGGACCATGAATACTGCTGTTAGGCCAGCTCCCACCGCACTTTGGTTTTAGGTGCCCCCCACTTCCACTGCCACTAAGCAACCTGCTCTGTACCAAGCCCCAGTGAGGGGGACTGCTGTGATAGCCACAGCCCCTCTCCCCCTCAGCCTGTGGCGACTGTCCAGATCTGATCCCGGAGTGCCAGGAAGGGGAGGCGCTCACTGTGGACAGGAACACCACAGGGATGTGCTGCCCTCTCTACCAGTGCGGTGAGTCCTGGCTGGACATGTGGGCCATGGCTGGAAGGGGATTGGGGACCTCTATGTGCCAGGGGGCCCCTTCACAAAGTCCTCACCTCAGAAGCAGGGCGAGTTCAACAGGGAGCCCCCAGGTCATGAGCGCCAAAGTGTAGAGCAGCCTAAGCCGGGATGAAGGACCTCCCCAACCAACCCCTACCCTCGCCACACCCCACTCCACCCGCTGCCTGCCCTCAGGAAGCTGGGCCAGACCATGGGAGCCCAGGCTGTGACACAGTTGGCTCTGAGGCATAATGAGAGGTCCATGGAGGCCCCAAGGGTCATGCAGAGGCCTGGGTTAAGGGACAAACACTTGGGCCACCCCTATATCCTCAGCACTAATTCTCAGTCCTCATTCTCTTTCTGACTAAGGGCCCTGCTTTGGGGTCCCTTTTGCTGCTGTGTTACCATAGTGCCAGCACAGGGAGGCTGCAGTTCTGTAACACCAAAGCAGCCAGATGCAATAGGTAATGATGGGCGTGGCTGTGTTCTGGTGAGACTATTTGCAAAATCGGGCAGCAGGCCAGATTTGGGCTGTGCGCTGCGCCTTGCTAACTCTGATCTAGAGGAAGGAGGCAAAGACACCCAGCCCCTTGGCCCTCTGTGCTAAAGCACTGATGATGCCCTGAGCTCCCTCTTTGCCCCCTGGAGTCTGACCTAGGCCTGGTGCCCAATGAGCCCCTACAGCCTTTCTGTGCCGTAGCCCAAGAGGCCCTGTGGCTTGAAGCCTCTGAATCTCTTTTATCTCACAATGGCAAATAGAATGGGCCCCTCCTAATATTTTCACAGAACATGGTACCTTACTATGGTTTACTCTACACATAGTACGTTAACAGTATCTATTAAGCAATAGCACCTATTAAGTACAGCCCAGTATGGTGAACTTGAAGCCAACTTAACGGACAAAGATTTAAAAAATGGTTAAAGTTAAATATGACTCAAATGCACACTGACTGCAGGAAAAATGTGAGTGAAGCTCACTTGCACAGAGCAGTGTAGGTGAGGACCCTCCACCAGGGCACCCCAAAGGCAGCCCTGACTGCTTCAATGTCAAGAACCAACTTTTGAAAAAATGTAGGCTTCCATGGAGAGATCCCACATGACCGGGTCACACCTGACCAACAGGCTCCACCTGGGGTCTCAGAGCCCACTGAGCAGTGGGTCAGCATTCTCCCTGTCCTCCCATTCTCTCTCCTCCTTCTATTTGTCTTTTCCTCCGGCCTCTGCAGCCTCCTTCTCTCGTGCCCAGGCTTTCTCAGGAGGCGGTCTGGTAAGGTGGGATGAGCACACGACAGTCGATCAGTCATGGCTTAGAGGCCCAGTTTTGCCATTTACTAGCTGTGTGGCCTGTGGCTAGTTACTAACTCTTTGAGCCAAGGTTTCTCATTTGTAAAATGGTGATAAGATTATGTGTCTTGAGGAGCTGTTGAGAAAATTAGAGATAATACAGGTAAAGTAACTAATGGGCCTTAGCCTCCAGTAGGAGCTCAATAAAGGGAGACTATTGATGCAGTCCTTTCTCCCAGTCTTCATTATGCTCTTATCACAAAAGCACCATGTATGCCTTGCACAAAGCCTAGAATCCAAGTGAATACAAGAAAATTAAAATACTGTCTTCCTATCACCTATTTTCCCATCGGCACTTTAGCACAATCCTCCCAGATATTCTCTGTGCCTTTATATAAATGTGTTCCTGTCAAGATGAGGTCATGCTGTACATGTTTTTAACCAGCTATTTTCAGTTAATGATCTTTACCTTCCCATGTTGATACATTTTCAAGGTATATCATACTCAGTCTATGATTCTCCCGGTTTGTCCAATCCAGGACCACACATTAACAGTGGCTCTCTTAAATATCCTTTAATCTAGCACAGGTCCCTTTTTCTGTATGATACTAAATTATAGATTTGGGGCTGTGGCCCTTCAGAATCCAACTTCTGTATTTATTCAGTTGCTTCCTCTAGGAACTGTTCACCTTGCTCCCCTATCCTCTGTGCTTCCTGGATGCTGGAAGTTAGTTAGGTCTAAGACTCGGTGGATTTAAGTTACAAATTTTGGGCTAGACAGTTAATGAGCTTCATATACATCCCATGAGGAGACACATGCTCTCTGGCTGAGCCACTGTAACTGAGGCTAACCTTGGCCCTGGATCAGGGTGGTGACGGTCCGATCCCTCCATCTTACATTTATGTTTTTCAGCCACAAAGTCACCCATTACTTTGACCCTGTACAAATGTCCTTCTCCCCTTCCACCTCATAATTTTATGGAACATCAATTGATAATCCTTAGCTGTGCCAATAATCTTCCAGTCAATCCAATAAGTCTTAACAGTTTAGCAAACAAGTCTTAACCCCTTCAGCACTGACCCTTGTACCTCTCCTCCTCACCAAAAACGTGTGCCCAGGGATTCCCTCCGTCTTTGCCTTGTCCCTCAGTACTTGAGGATGGCCCAGGAACCCAGAACTAAGAGGGGACTGCCTGAAGAGTAGGGAGAAGGCAAGCATGAGCCTCAGGGCATAGTGCAGGCGGGAGCAGAGCAGGCTCAGCGGGGCTGCAGGTGGACGGAAGAGTTGTGTTCTCCCATAGAGGGAACCATTCCTGTCAGTGGAGCTCACCCCCATCACTGTCCCCATCTGATGGCCGCTCTCAGTGTGACACAGAATCCAGGGGAGGGAAGGCCCAGTTGAGTGACTTAAAGGTTGTCACATTGCCACGTTGCTAATGCCTCATTGCACCAGAAGTAGGGCCTCCTCAAGTAGTTCTACAGAGAGACTTCTTCCCTGGACTCCAGCCACAGAAGGCGTCTGGGGGAGACCTAAGGAGGAGCCGGGAGGTAACTCCTCCTCAGCTGATGTTGCCTCTCTGGGCAGTCATGCCGCAGGGGTCTGCAGCTGATGTGGCCCCTGCCTTCCCTCCTTCATAGTGTGTGAGAGCTTCCGCTGTCCTCAAGTGCAGTGCAGCCTGGGGACAGCCCTGGTGGAGGTGTGGGGCCCGGACCGCTGCTGCCCCTACAAGTCCTGTGGTGAGTCCCCAGACAGGGGCGCCCCTCCCAAAGGCAGAGGTCCAGGGCCCCTGTGAAGAGGGACGGGAGGGGAGGAATGGGGCCCACCCACTGTCCTCCTGCTCAGATTCTATCCCTCCAGGGTCACCAGAGGGAAGCCAGCAAAATTCTTTCCCCCTGCATCTGCTCTCTGACTGCCCAGCATTGCTACATCTTTTTCTCCCCAAGATAAAAGAAGGGAAAAAAGCAAGTTCACTGTTCCAAAGAGGTTTTCATCTTAAAAAGTCTTTTAGCAACTATCTGATAGTAAACATGATTTTTGTTAAAATTCACCTTAAACCCTTATGAAAAACAGGTGGGGGTTCAATAAGCAATAATGAACACCAATGAGCTTTATATAAAAATGTTATTTAAAAAGAGTTGAGAAAACTCTATTTTGCATCTGGATTTTTCACTTCTTCCAGGCCTAGAATGTAAATGTCGTAAGGGCAGAGATTTTAGTCTGTTATATTCATTGCTCTTTGTCCCCAAAGCACAGAGAAAGCTCAGCATATAGTAAGTGCTTAAAACTATTTGCTGCATGAGTGAGTGACCCAGAAGGGTGTTTCCCAGAAACCCTGACCTTGAGTTGTCCTCACTCTGAACCTAGAGACAGTGTAGCCCTCAAGTTTGCTAGTGGTGCCTCAGCACTTGGCCCTTTGCAGCTCCAAGCTGGCCCTCCCTTGAGCAAAGGCCTGGAGCAGTAGGACTGAGCTTGCTGGAACATACAGATGGGCAATACAGATGGTCAGAAGTTCCACCCTTGCTGTGTCCATTCCTGGAGAAGCCCCACATTTACTCTAGAACAGTCTCTCCGGAGGCCGGGGAGGGATGAAGCCCGGACAACTCAAGGGAACCTGTGATGGGCCCCTCTGCCTGCTTATCGTCACCCCATAATTGGTGTGAAGCTCCGCATTAGGACCCATCAGCTTTGTGCCCTGGCTCCTGCTAGGGCAGCTGCAGCCCCCATGCAGGGATGGAGGAAGGCTGAGATTTCAGTTCCTTCCCCCCAGCTCCCACCCAGGTGTGGGAGCCCAGGGAACTTCCACCCCAACCCAGACGCCTCTGGTGAGGTGGTCCTGGCCCCTCCTGTTTTTCAGAGTGTGACTGCAACACAATCCCAGTGCCCCGGTGCCATCTGGTATGGGAACCCGGCTCCCGCCCACTCTCCCTGGTCGGCCTCCCCTTCTCCTTTCCTCTTATCCCTTCCCCTGGAAACCCCATTCCTTTAACCTAGTGCCAGGAGCCTTGGACTGCAAGTCAGCATTCTTGCCCCAAGCTCTGCCTCCTGAGCACATTTGCAAAGTGGGCGTGATCATGCTTCAGAGCTGTGGGGAGGCTTAGGCACAATGACAGTGACAGTGGTGGTGGTGGTGGTGGTGGCGGAATGGGGAGGAGGGTGGGTTAGTGTAAAGACGGCGAGAGTGGTGGAGACGGTGGAGAGGATGCTCATGATGGTAGCTAATGTGCATGAGAGCTCACTATATGCCAGAAGCTTTCCTAGGCCTTTATGTATATCATACAATTAGTTCTCATGAAAACCCAATGAGGTCGATTCTGTCATTATCTCAGTTAAACAAACAAGGAAACTAAGCTTAAGGCCATAAAGCTAGTAAATCAGAGTCAGGATTGGAACCCAGGAAATCTGAGTTCCAGAAACCATGCCCTTACCCACCAGGCTGCACAAACAATGCGGTAAATGAAACTACTTTAAGAAATGTAATATTTATTTATAATATACATATTTATTTATAAGATATATTATATTTATTATATTAAAAGCTATGTTTTCCCACCATTTTCTGAATTGTATGTATTCCCCTAGCCCCCCACCCCCAGCACACATTTCCTCTCATTTTGTCCCAAGTCCCAACCCTCCTCTTCTCCCTTCCACTAGTGATGGAAGAAAGGAAATGGTATGAGCCAAGTGGTGCTCTTGGCAGGCCACCACACAAGGGCCCCTAGTTGATGTGGCCAGGGGGTGCTCAGGACGACAGGAGAGGCCTGAGGTCCTGGGAGAGGACACTGGGCAGTGCTCCTCAGTGGGGAGCCACACTGGGATATTCTCTCTGGGTGGGAGGGGGACTGAGCTGCCAGGGTGCCAAGGGCCCCAGGCTTGCTAGCCTCCTCCCCACCTGCTGTAAGGAGGTGAGCAAAAGTGAGAGGGGCCCAGGTGGCAGATGGTCCCTGAGGGTGGTAGTGCTGACTGCTTCTGCCCCACCCAGTGGGAGAAGTCCCAGCTGGACGAGGAGTTCATGCGCAGTGCAGAGAACGTGTGTGGCTGTGCCAAATACGAGTGCGGTGAGTGCAGGGAGTAAGGGCAGAGTGAGGGTGGGGGAGCCACTGGTGGGCCAGCAAGGCTGGGGCGTGCATGTGTGCTGGGCTCCTGGTGACTGCTGCCACACTGCACGCCCGTCCAGTGAAGGCCCCCGTGTGTCTGAGCCGTGAGCTGGGTGTGATGCAGCCCGGGCAGATGGTGGTGGAGCTCTCTGCAGACGGCGTGTGCCACACCTCCCACTGCACTGATGCACTCGACCCCCTCACCAGCTTCTACCAGATCAACACCACCTCTGTGCTGTGCGACATCCACTGCGAGGCGGTAGGGTGCAGCTCGTGGCCGGTAGGGCTGGCCTGGCAGATCGTAGGTGCTCTAGTCGAGAGACTAGGCATCAGGGGTCCCTCAGGGACCCTTGTGAACAGTGCTGAGAATGGGGCTAGGCTGGGAGAGGCCAGGAACAGCAAGAGCGAAGGCCTGGCAAGGGTGGGTATTTGCCAGAGAGAACACACGGTTATTAAGCACCTACCTATGCCTGGCACATTCTCTGCCCTTTCGGGTTGTTTGTTTGTGTTGCCTCCATCTGTTGAGCCTAACTATATGCCGGGTACTAGTACAGTGACTTCTAGTAAAGGCTAAATAAATATTACTTGAATAAAGTTTGGCATTATTCCAATTTTTCAAATGACAAAATGGTTTCAGGGAGGCCTGTCATTTGTAAAAATTCCTGCAGGGAAGGAACTCAAATTGAGGTCTCCCTGGAATCACAAGTGGCACCCTTAATCACTAGCAAGGCTATCCCTGAAAGGGTGGAAAAGCCCTTTGTCCACTGGGCTACATCTAGGAAGCACTATAAAGGAGGCTTGCAGTAGACATAGGAAGTGGCCTTCCAGCCTGAGGTAGGAGGAGGCTGGGGGCTCCCCCCCTGAGCCCCTACAGGTGGCCCTTCTCCAGGCTCTGGGCTCAGAGACAAGCAGGCAGTGGGAGAGGCAGGAGGGTGGAGGGGGCGGGTGGCTGAGGCTCGCGTCCTGCCCTGCCCTGCAGAACCAAGAGTACGAGCATCCGAGGGACCTGGTGGCCTGCTGTGGGTCCTGCAGGAATGTGTCCTGTCTCTTCACTTTCCCCAATGGCACCACCTCTCTGTTCTTGGTATGCAGCCTCTTTACTGCCCACCTGGGAAGGTGTCCCAGGAGGAGCCGCCTAGGACCAGGGCCCAAGGGTGGGTACAGATGGGATCCTGGGCTGCCCTGTTCAGAGCTGTGCCCTATGGGTTCACTCAGTCATCTGGCCACACGTCCCCATCACCCAACATCCGTGTCCTCCAGCCCGGGGCATCCTGGATCACAGACTGCACCCGCCATCACTGCAGCACCACCCCCCTGGGCGCTGTGCTTGTGCGCTCGCCCATCAGCTGCCCGCCCCTCAATGAGACCGAGTGTGCCAAGGTCAGTACCAGCCTCCTCCCCCCACAGCGTGGCCTGAGGCCAGGGGCATCGCTGTCTCCCTGGTGGTGGGGTGGGGGAGGAGGAGCTCCCGGGAGCCTGTGTGTGCCCTGCCACCCCAGCTTCACACCTCTCTGTGCACATTTGCTCTGACTACATGACACCCTACATCCTCACACAGGGCATGGCCTCACACAGATACGGGCAGATCACACCATCGCCTGTTCCAGGCACCTTCACATACATACCAGCATGGGCACTTGGCCCCTTACACACACCACACACTCCACAGAGACATGGACGCCTCAGTACACACACCACATGGACACCCAGTTCAGTCCTGTGGCGGGCGAGTGGGTGTCCAGCACTAGCACAGACGGCTGTCACTATGGGTACGCCTCAAGGAGGAGGGTTCCTGGAGGGTGTGTGGTTATTGTTCAATTATTAAAATTCCTGAGATTAATACTGGACATTAAAGACTTCTGCTCTTACCTAGAAAACAAAATACATATACATCTCTTCATACACACAGTCACACATGCCAAATCACACACATATATGCTCACAAAATCGCACACATACTGAGACCCATCCTCACACTTACTTGCAAAGACTTGTTACATTCACTGTTTTATCTATTTCACAATAGAGGAGGAGGGCTCTAAGGGACAGTTGCCATTTTGGAGATGGGAAAACCAAGCCCAGAGCAGAGGTGACTTACTCAGGGCTGAGTTAGTGCCCAGGCCTGCGACCCAGCTGGGTCAGCCCTGAGCCTCTCCCTTCCCTGACCCTGTGTACGGGATGCACTAATGGGGGGACAGGGCATGAGGAGAACAGCCCACCAGGAAGACAGGAAGACCATCTTATCCTGGCCTGCAGCCACCCTGGCAGCCATGGCAGCCATCATGCCAGTGTCCCGCCCCATCAGGGTAGCCCTGGCGGCTCTCCCGTGGCCATCCTGGGGTCCCCTTCTCCCTCTGGCCGTGGCCTGAATTACAGCAGGGCCTGGAGTTGCTGCCCTGGGCATCATGGGAGGAAAGGTGCCTCAACTCCTGTGCTCTTTTTGCCCTCTGCCGGGATCGTGGCTCTTGGCCTGGGACAGGGTCTGCTACCCACCTCCCCTCCTCTCCCTCTAGGTTGGGGGCTCAGTGGTACCTTCCTTGGAAGGATGCTGCAGGACATGTGAGTGAGCGTGGTGGAGGCCCAGGGGTGAGGGGCGCTGGTAGGGGGACAGGGTGTCATGTTGGGGCTCAGAGGGCCATGCTCCTGGCACCTCCAGTGGAGGCTCCTCAGGGGTGAGTAGGTGAGGCTCATGGCACTGGCACAGCTGTGCAGGTGGGCAGAGGCTGTGCTCATGTCCCTGTCCCAAATAAAGGCCTCTGGAGATAAGGGACATTGGGATATTGGGTCCAGGAGGTCAGAAACTCACAAGCCACTCTATTTCCCCCTGCTCCTGCCAAGACCACCAGCCCGATGGCCCCCACATGAACTGTCCCTGAGGTTAGGAGCCCTGTCTTGCAGGTACCTCCTGGATGGGATTCAGGCCCAGGGGGTCCCTGACTGAGTTTGAATGGGAGCTCTGTGCATCTGTCCTCAGGCACTGCACCAGGAACCTGAGCCTCCCAACCACAAATGCATGTACATTCCAATCAGCCTTAGGGCCTTTGCCCCCCTTGTCTCCCCTCCCCCTGGGATGTCAAACCCTTCCTTGCAGGGATGTAGAATCTGGGACCTTTCTATGTCCACCTCACATGCTACAAGGAAGCTGAGCTCAGTGCCTCAGTGGCTGATCTCTAACCCACAACTCATGCTCCCTGCATATCCCATGTGCTTCCATGTGAACTGTGACCCATGTCCCTCTCCCCAGGTTCCCCGGGGACCCTGCTTCCCGTGGTCCCCGTTAGCCCTGCCTCTCCTCCACGGGTTAGTGTCCACTGCCACCCAGGTACTTCTCTTGGAAGCCCACGAGACTGGAGGCATGCAGCTGTGTTGCTATTTCCAACAATGTCCCTTCCGCTAGGTGGCCATGAGCTCTGGGTTGGGGGAGGGGAGGATGATGCCCCTGCTCCCTGCCTCTGGCAGAGGCATTTGGCCAATAGTGCATGCTGGGTAGTGAGCTGCATCCCCTGGGCTTGCATGAGATGCTTCAGCAGTGCCCATTGTCCTGGCAACCACCCATGCCACATGCCACCGCTGCTTTGCTACCGCTGGTCACTCTTGGTCCAGGACCCTGAGGGCCATGGCCAGGACAGCCCTCAGTTCCCCTGCCCCATGGCAGGGAGAGAGGGGGGAAGGGAGCTTAGGTCTGGCCAGGAGTCCTCCAGCCAGTGTGGTAGAAAACCTGCTGTGGGGAGGCCCAGAGGCCAGAAGAAAGGGTTTCACCCAATTTTTGGCAGGTACCCTGGGGTCACAGAGGGAGTCTGTGCACCCAGCAAATATTTATTGAGCACCAGTACACCAGGCCATGTTCTAGGCACTGTAGACACAGCATAAGCAAGGCCTTACTCATGAAGCTGACATTTTTGTGGGAAAAACAGAATAACAAGCAAAATATATAACAAGATGGATGCCTCTGGTTTTCTGGGGACTGAAAGTTGTACAATTTGGGGGGCCTTGTTAAGAGAAAGAACACAAACGTACCAATCCATACTGAGGTGTGAAAGTGAGTATTTATTTAGAGTGAGAAAAGAACTCACAACAAATTAGGCAAAAGGAGGCCCTAAAGTTTGTTTTAACAATATATTAGAAATACGTCTCTGATAGAATGGTGAAGTGCCCTGGAGAGAAAGAAGGCATGGGAGCGGTCAGTGAGGGAGGACCAGGTGGAGGGAGGGAGTTGCAGTTTCAAGTGAGATAGGGAGAGTCCTGGATGAGGACATAGTTGAGCAGGTGAGGGTGTGAACTAGCCTTGGGGCTGGTTGTCTGTGGGAGGCGTGGTGCAAGCAGAGGAAACACGGAGTTTATCGATATCCATCCCTGCAACAGCTGAGGTGAGGCGAACTCCCTGGCCCTGTGTGATAGATACGGAAACGGAGTGAAGTTGCTGTGTGTAAGCATGTGCTAGGGCCTGGGGTTTTCAATCATCGGGAAATTGCAGCATCTTAATGCATGAAGCCCTTTCAGAATAGGAAAGCTGAAGCTCAAAGAGAGGTGAGGACATGTCCAAGTTCACCAGCAGGAGTTAAAGGCAGGCATCGAGGGTGGGGCTGGAGGGGCCTGCCTTGTCCACAAATCCTGCTCTTTCCTAGCTCAGAGCCCCTGAGGTCATCCAGGCATCCTCCTCTGCTTCCCCATCTTCCCTGCCTCCACCTCCTTTCAGGGCATTGAGTTAAAAGACTCTTCTTTGGGGAAGTGGCTCTAATGCACAGGCACTAACCCTGGAAGAGGGACGCTCCACATGACACTGCCCCAGTTTGCCTGTCCTGCTGCCCCAGCAATGCTTCCCAGCCATGGCCGCCTCGCCCTCCCTGTCCCCCCAGGTAAAGAGGATGGGCGCTCCTGCAAGAAGGTGACCATCCGCATGACCATCCGCAAGAACGAATGCAGGAGCAACACCCCTGTGCGTGCGCTGCGGGGGTGGGAGGGGGCAGCCGGAGGCGGGGCTGCAGGGGCTGTGGGGTGGGAGCTACACAGGCTACCTCACTGGCTGGCCCATCTCCAGGTGAATCTAGTGTCCTGTGATGGGAGATGTCCATCCGCCAGCATCTACAACTACAACATCAACACCTATGCTCGCTTCTGCAAGTGCTGCCGTGAGGTGGGCCTGCAGCGGCGCTCCGTGCAGCTCTTCTGTGCCAGCAATGCCACCTGGGTGCCTTACACAGTGCAGGAGCCCACCGACTGTGCCTGCCAGTGGTCCTGAGGCCTGGGGCCGGGGCTGGACCACCTCTGCTGCCCCCACTTTCTGCATCCAGATGGCCCAGTGTGCATGAGTGTGTTGTGGGGGGTCCAGAGGAGGTACTAAAAGTGTGGAGAGCTGGTTCATGCTGAGCATGGAATGGCAGGCAGAGGCACAGAGAGTGACCAGAACGGGACCCCTGTCTGTCCTGACTCCCTCTCTGAGCTTCGCTACTCAACCCATGGGGAAGTGCCACAGCTGAGGGCTCAGAGATGTAGCTCTGTCCCTGGCTCTAGTCTGGAACAGGCCCTAAATCAGGGCCACAGCCTCCATGCATCGGACGCTGGCTGCAGGGTTTTGGTGAAGGGGGTGAGAGCCTTCCTGAGAGGCCGGGACCAGAGCTGAACCAGGCCAGGATAGGGTGGCTCACTTTCTTTCTTGGCCTTTTGACCACAGGAGAACCACAGACACAGTTTAAGGAAAGTAGGCTTAACTGCAACATGCAGGCCTTCATCTAACTCCCAGGAGAACTTCCCAGAAGGAAAGGGATGGGTTCTCAGGCCCAGGTCCTCTGGTATTCTGTTTCTGATGTTGTAATTCAGGAAAAGACTTAGATGAGCAGGCCTATGCCTGCTCCATACCCACCCTCAAATCCCCAGCCCCAAAGCCAGCCTTCCTGGCTAGTGAGCTGGTTCTTGTGAGGTGATGGTGGGAGGGAGTGACTTCTTCTTTGAAGGTACAGCACAACTCATCTCAGTGTTGGTGACCAGCCCACCCTCCTAGGGTGCAAGGTTGTTCAGCCTATGAGGGCAGCTCCTGGCTTTGCCATGTGACTTTTCTCCAGGATATAACAGCTGGTCTCCTGAGGGGCCTGAGTGTGAATTCTGTGGCTCAGCTAATTCCCAGCTCTCTGCTTCATGGGACTATTTAGCTGGAGGGCAGCTTTCCATAAAAAATGCAGGCAACCTGTCTCTGAACCAATGTCCTTCTTAAAGCCAGGGCTAGGCGTCCCTCCATACCTCACTCAGCAGGTACCTTCTCCCTGGTGCCACTTTACGCTACAAGGGCCAAAGGACATGAACCTGAGGTTGCTCAGGCCCTGGTACTGCCCTGTATGCCCAGATATGTGTAGCTGCCCTAGTGCCCCTAGGGTTGGTGTTAGGGCTAAGTTCCAGGGTAGTCCCCAGCTGTCCCTACAGCTTCTTTGTTCCTATATCTGTATTTTGTGTATATATCCAATAAACCATTAAAGACATCAAGCCTCTGATCATCTCTGAGGGTGTCAGGTTTGCTTTGAATCTGAAGGAGTTTCAACTGTGAGGAGAAAACCCTATTTTATGGCCCTGGAGGTCACCCTGACTTATGCCTCACCTGTATCCAGCAGTGTGCCCCACTCAGAGCAGCAGAGTGTCTGCTGGTTGGAACTGAACTAATACACACTGGCTCCTAGGGGAAGGAGTGGGAAGAAGGAAGAGGACATTGGGGGCTGGGGGGCTGGCACCCAGGTGGGGAACCCGAAGAGCAGCCCCAGCTCTATGGGGCTGGGGACAGAGGCATCTCACAGAAGATGTGGGCAGAGCAGGCCGAGAGTAGGTTTCATGTTGGAGCTCTCAACATTTCTATATTTATTTCCCTGTTGTTCTTGCATCAAATTAAGTTTTTGCAGCCATTGTTGACTGCACTAGAGTTAAGAAGAATCTGGGGAACAGGTTTTTGGTGACCCTTCAACTTTAAAGGACCAATGGCACATCTAAGGGGCAAGTGGGAGAATGCTTTGCTGGGTTGTCCCACGTGAGGCTTGAGGAAGCACCTGCCTGCAAGGGGAAGAAACTGCTAGGGTATGAATCATTGCCTAGGGCACAAGAGCTCCACTCCACTTGCAGGAGTGGAGCATCTCCTTTGAAGTTAACAGTTGGAAGGCTTTTTTTTTAATTTAATAAGTGTATCCCTTCATCCTTTATCTATCTGCTGACCTGCTAACTTTTCCTAATGAAGAGAGCTTTACAACCCTTAAGAAGCACTATAAATAAGCAATGGATCACAAAAGAAATCAGAGTAGAAATTAGGCAACATTTTGATCTGCATGATCATGAAATTATGGCACATTAAGCTTGTGAGATGCAACTAAAGCAGTACTAAGAGGGACATTTATAGTCTTAAATGTTTCATACTTTTTAATTTCCTATCATTATAGCCAGAAGTAGACGGGACAGGGCTTCCACACTTCTCCATCATTGATGATCAAAAACTTGCAATCAGTCATTTTCTCAGTATAACAGACTCCCTAGATTACATATCAATAGCTTTCAGAGAGTGTTTCAAACTCTGAACTCAACAGAAATTGACTTTAAACATACCTTTAAAGAGAACTGATTTAAAATACAGATTCTATTAAACAGCAAGATGTTTAGATTAAGACATAGGGTGGTTCTTTAGTCATTGTTGCAATTTCAGTGCTCCTGGCTGCTCATCCCTCACCTCACTGCCACTCTCATCTGTTTAAGTCCATGTACCAGCAGGCAGCTTTTGAACAGGGCCACTCATAATCAGCTGTTGTGTAAACAGGCAGAAGGCACAAGGTCAAGCCATCCAGTCTTGGCCTAACCATCTTTCTGCAGCCTCGGTTTGGAAGGGTGGCCTCAGGCTTTCAGATGCCTGTTCCTCATATGCTGTTGCTGGTGCCCCAGTGTTGCTAACTTGGCCCTCTTTGCCTCCAGTTGGCAGCAGCCTCATCCCAATCATATACTCCCAGATGGCCATAGCTTCTGATCACACCCCATCACTGGCGTCACAGTGCTCCTGGCTTTTCATCCCCGACCTCACCTTCACCTGATCCAGGGACACCCTCCAACCTGCTCCTGCTGGAAGCCAACCTCCCACCCTAATCCTTTGACCAAAATTCCAGTCCTTTTCCCCCAGCTCCCTCCTAGGAAACCAACTCTTTCAAGTTAAGGCCCTTTGGTGAAAGATTAACAAGAAGCAAATCATTAACCAGCAGGATACCTTGCTCTGCACTGTGAGAAGACAGGAGGGGGTGGGGATTTTAAACCTCAATCGAGGTTGTCCAATTGCCCTCAAAAACTCAATACCAGGTAGTGCTGATATGGGTGTTCACTGACACAATCGGGATAGGTTGATTTACATTAAAAATACATGTACCCTTTGACTAAGCCATCCTATTTCTAGGCAGTTATGGTGGGCTGAATAACATGTCCCTGTACTGTGCCAGGAACCTCTGAATATGTTACCTTACATGATGAAAGGGACTTTGCAGATGTGATTAAGTTAAGGATCTTGAGGTGGAAGATAGTCCTGAGTTATCCAGGTGGCCCCAGTGAATCACAAGAGTCCTTATAAGAGGAAGGTGGGAAGATCAGAGTCAGGGAGAGGAGATGTCATAACAGATGCTGAGGTTAGAATGATGCACTTTGAAGCTGGAGGAAGGGGCCACTGGCCAAGGAACAAAGGTAGCCTCTGGAAGCTGGAAAAGGCAAAGAATGGATTCTCCCCTGGAACCTCCAGACAGAGCACAGGCCTGCTGCAGCTTGATTTTACCCCAGTGAAACTGATTTAAGATTTATGACCTCCAGAACCAGAAGAGAATACATTTGTGTGGTTTTAAGCCATTGAGTTTGTGCAATTTGTTACAGCAACAATGGAAACTAATACAGCATCTAAGGAAATAATTCATACAAAGAGGTGTAGGCCAAGATTGTCTCAAGCTATTGTCTTAGGCTATTTGTCTTAGGCTATTGCTGTATCTTCTTAGCTTAAAAAAATGGTAACAATTTTAAGTGCCTATCAAAAGGGACTGATAGATAATCTGGTACAGCCACACCATAGAATATTATATAGCCTTTTTGTACACTGATATGGTGGACTTTCCAGGATATGTTAAATGAAAAAAGGAAATTGTGTGTCAGCTCCCACAGAATGACCCACCTACTTTATGCACCCGTGTGGGGACACACACACACACACACACACACACACACACTCACATCCATCTCATTCCATTGGGGAGTTTTCAGGACTGGGGAGGGTCCCTCCTGGCTGTTTGAGCTGGCTGGTTCAATGGTGGTGTTGGTCTAGGAAGAGCCTGTTTGGTTCTGAAAGTCCCAAGAGCTGTCACTGTGTGCCAGAGATTGACGCGATCATGCCAGGATAGACTCAAGGCTCAAGGGGTGTCTATAGCATCTCCCCCATTCCTTATTTCCTCATGTGACTTGAACCTGAAGGAACCCCAGAGGCCATACACAAAACAGATAAGGAAACAGAGGCACAGGCCCCAGCCACTCAGAGAACTGGCAGCAGAGCTGGGTGGCTGCCCAGCCTGCAGCCCCCAGTGACGTATTTGCAAACACGAGGGGTTTTGAGCCCCAGAACCATCCCATTTTCCGTGCTTCAGGCTCAAGTTCCCGCCCTGATTTTCTGGGCTTAATCCTCTTCCTGTGGAAATCAATAAGGACATTGTGATAGAATGATTCACGTTCAAGGTCAGGCCAGAGCAAATTGAAGGCGACATGCTGATTTTACTGCCCTCACTGAGAGGAGAGCCAGTCCTGCTCACAGACCCCTTAACCCTTTCCTGGCCTCTCCCACCAGCTGCACCAGCACCTGCCCTGCCTCAGCTGCCTCTCCCTGGGCTAGGTCCCAAGGGCCTTTTCACCCACGTGGTGGCCCTGCCTTTTACATCTCCCCAAGATCTGACCACACAGGCCTCGGAGCCTCACACACTTGTCATGATGGTTTGGAGAAGGCAGATGGCAATCACAGCACCAAACCAAACACCAACAACTTCAAGTCGAAGGTCAAATGCTACTTGTATAAGTTCATTGGCCATATTCTGACCAAGGAAATCTCCCCCAAGCTCAGCATTTCTCCTTTCCACCCCTCCTGTCAGAGTTCCAGACCCCCTCTTCCCCTTCCCTGCTTTCACATGGGAAGATGAGAAGGGGAACCAAATTCCTAGTTTTTAAAATATACACAGCAAGTCAGATCTTTTTTGTGGCTCAAACATGATAGAGGTTTATTTCCTCCACCTATATAAAAAAATCCAACAAAACAATTAAACTGGGGTTCTGAGTATCTGGAACCTTGCATCTAAAATGATTCAGAGACCCTGACCCTTCTGTCTGGAAGGTCTACCATCTCAGCCTGAGCCTTCTTAAGTCTCATCTGCATCAAGCCGGCCCCAGGAGGCATACAGGGAGCATGTGCTGGAGGCTTGGGGGAGCACTGAAAGTGGCTTGCTCTCTTGGACTCACATCCCCCTGGCCAGAACTGGAGTATGTGGACACACCTAACTGCAAGGCAGGCTGGGAAACGTAGTCCATCTAGTTGCCCAAGAGGAAGAGATGGGTCTGCTGAACAGCATCCCCTCAGTGAGGAGGTGGAGATAGTGCAGACAACTCTGAGGAGTATGGTTAAGAAGGACAAAAGAGAGATAGGCCGTGAGGTCAAGGGAAGGTTGTTTAATGGTTTGAAGAAGGCAGTGACTTGACCATGTATCCTAGAAGGAGCCAGTGGACAGAGAAGGGTTGTGCTGCGAGAGAGATCAAGGATCTCTGAGGGCCTGTGGCAGGCATGAAGAGGGACAGTGGTGGAAAGAGGCACCCCTGGCTGAGTAGACCCCAGACTTTTATTCATCCCTGTGTGCCAATGTCTAACTCAGGGCACAGAGAAATGAATACGAATGTACCTGGCGATGTGAAAGTGAGGAACCCGGGCAGCAAGAAGTTAAAGGATATAGGAGTGGGCAGAGCTGAGGAGCCAGGTGCCCCCCCAATACTGTGGCAGTGCCAGTTAATCCCCTGCAGCAGGCAGGAGGCCCGCACAGCTATCTCTCCCAAGTTGGGACTGCACCACCACCTGGCCCTTTGCCCAGAGGTCCTGGCAGCCCAGAGATTCCAGGGGAGATAGGTGGGCAGCACAGTGGGTAATGGGTGCAGCCCCTGCACCCTTGCAGAGCTCCTTCTCCAGAACTGAGCCATTCTATAGGCTTGTTATGCAGCCCCCACCTGCCATCAAGACCACCCCTCCCTCAGGGCCATTGTCTTCCCAAGCAAGCTAAATCCAAAGTCTGTCCCCGCACCCCCCACACCGTGTCTATTCCTGCCTCTGTGCCCTTGCCTGTGGCCTTTGCCTCACCTGGAACACCCTTGTCCTGCCTCTCCCCAGGCAGTTCCTGCCCAGCCTTCAGATCCATCTGTGTCCCTCCTCACGGCAAGACCCCAGCCTGCAGAAT